GATCATATTTAAGAAACCAGATGATTATTTATTGTTCTGGCACTCAAATAATTCTGTAATCAGTAGGGAACTTGCATCTCACATCACTTTATCCTAATATCCATTGTTATTCATATTGTTATGCAAGTACAAAGTAGTTGTAACTTATCATTTTCTAATAATTGTTTTGATCATACCATTGATTAGTTTCTTGTAATATATGTGCATCCTGTGACGATTGTCTCATCCAGCTGACTAATTCCAAATAGAACGAAAAGCGTTTCCTGGACTCCACTCCTAGCCAATGTCATCCACTTCTATCTAGTTAATATTGTCTATTATAATTTTCAGTAGTTGAAATCATGAGTCAATTGAAGCTAGACCATCACAGAAAACATCGAATCACTGGACGGCCGTTTCATCCTAGTATGGGACTCCTTAGCAGTGCGCATCCAGCTATTCAACTATTGAAATTACTAAACTCTCCACAAAAACCCTTCTGATATTATAATTTTGTTTGACATCTTGACTGATCACAATCATTCTGAACAATAAAAATACAGATATTTTCAAATGAATTTTAGTTATTCTATTCCAATAACAACATGGCAACCTGCTTGAATATCTGGGCTACCTGTTCCTACCATCTGGATATTTCAACAACTTGTCTGATTTATTATTTCTTTTAACATATCATTATGCCCATTAGTCACATAATCTATTCAGAAGCGTTTGTGATAAGTTTATGACATTTCACTGTACAAGTTACAAATAAGCCTAATCAATGACATCGTGGTTCCTGGCAACAGTATATATTGAAAAGAATGTACATTATTCAAATATTGATTCCTGAACTGCTAATTCCTAACTGGCGACCAATCAATATTTATCGTGAAGAATCGACCAAGAAATAAGAAACAGAAACTTGTTGAAGTACTTGATGTTGATAGTTCTATATTGTATCAAAAATATAATTCTGATTCAGATTTCAGGTTTCTGTAGTGAGAACAGAAGGTCTACGTCCTATGTTATTCCTTTTCTAATATGTTTCTATGAGTGTCCAATCTTCTCTTGAATGAGTCAATTGAAGGTTCAGACACCACTACTTCGGATAACAGTGATGAATAAAGCCACTAATAATAATAATAATAATAATAATAATAATAATAATAACAGTACATACATCACATGTTAACAAAGAGTTTAACAACCTACTCATTTAAAATGTCTAAATGATTAATTATAGTAGGCAATGGAAAAGTATTTTTTTTTTTTTTTATAAGACTTAGTTTGATATAGAATTGCGTAGTTTGTATTAACTTCATTATGAAGTATAAATGTGTAGGAAAATCTTGATTTTAATTGATAAAGATCAATTTTGGATCATATAAACTATTGATCTATTATTGTAAATGTACTTTAAACTTTAATATACTACTGATTACTTATTAATAGAAGAATATATAATATTGATTATTAAGGTAAGATTGAAAAGGTAGATCAACCATTTTTTTTTTTTTTAAAAAAAATGTTTCAATTCATTATGATCTTTGATCATGATAGAATTTTGTTGTTTATTCATTATGATAATCACATGGAATAAGATTTGTTGATCATTCAATATAAGTTTTTTGTTCATTATAATATTAGAAGGGGGATTTTTGTGAATATTATTAGTTATTTTAATAGTTGAGATCATCATGAAAAACTTAGAAGTAATGAACCGCTGTTTTGTTCTATTGTGAGACTCCTCAGTAGTGTGTATCCATAATCCCGTCTCGTCAGATTCGAAATCATCGCCAATCAGTCTCGTGCATGAACATTTAAGCTCGAGACCACTGAGCAGACTGGTATCCAATGATGTTAATGTCTAACTTCAACTAATCTATGAAATTGAGCCACACATCTACCATTGTGTTCAGTGAGTTACTATTTCATAATAGACTCGGTTGAAATCTACTGGTCATGGCTTCTCCCTAGAACTCCAGGAATCTGCTTAACCATCCTTTAGACTGATGGAAATATTAAAGCTTCACATATACCAAAAGATACTGGTCAAATACTGTATTAAATGCTAACAACAAAGTTTCTGAAGTTTTAGTGGAAAACCTTGATCATTGTAGATAAACCTTGTCAGATGTGAAGCTGTTACTCATCAAAAACAATAGATGATATTGTGGATTGATTGAAGTTCAACATCGACACTGTTGGTCACCGACTCAGCGGTATACAGATTAGGCGTTTTCCCGCATTCTCGAATGTGGTATGTTTGATTCTGACATACATGGGCATAAATGAACACTATCGAGAAGTTCCATATTTTGACAGAATAGCTATTCAGTGCTCCCAGGTTTTCAATGGTGGTCTGACGTTGATCGTATGTGATTTCGATTATATTCAAAATTAGTTGCTATTTACCGGTGAGCTGCTTGGAATAATAGCGTGGTCGAAAGTGACTGATCGCTGACTAGGTGTAAGAAATACCGTGTTTATCTAATCGTCAGTGCTAACCAAATTCTACTGTGGTCAATAGTCATTGTTACTGTCTTTAGGTGTTAAATGGTGTGAGGCAAACACAGTAATGCCCTAAAACTATGTTCTCGTAAGTTGGTACTTATTACTTACTTACTTAAGTCTGTTACCTCTTGTAGAGCAGCATTAGCCGCCCAACAAGATACGCCACCCAACTGTCCTGATCAATCCTTTCCAGTTGCTGTCCATCATTTTGATATCTGCTTGGTCTTCGTTTTTTCCATTTCCCTCTAGAATTATAAGTTAGGGCTTGTCTCGTGACTTAGTTCAATGCTTTACATAACGTATTTCCTATCCACCTCCAACATCTTTTCTTAATTTCCTCTTCAGATGGAAGTTGAATTGCTTCCTTTCACAGAGCATTGTCGTTAATTTTATCCTTACGTAGACAATTCATTAGAAACACTTGTATACTTTTGGTGATGGTTGTAGTAGTTCTCCAAGTTTCAACTCCGTACAATAGAACTAAATGTCTTGGCATACTTAATGAAGATTCTGAGTTCGATGATGGTTGACAGTCGTTTAGAGTTGCAGATAACCTACAATTTCAGGAATGCCGCCCTTAATTGATCAATGCTTGCCTTTACGTTTCCATCAGATGCTCAACTGGGATATTAAACTTAAGGAAGAACAACCAGTAAACAATATAATTAATTATGAGCAGAGTTGGATGGTCGCTAACGATGGAATCCAGGACTCGTCACCTGGACGTACCTGCATTGCAGAGTTGATGTTCACTTAGGGACTGGAACCCAGTACTGTTCTCTTTAAACACCATCGCATTACCCACTTAGCAACTGAGTCCTGATAATCATTTTCGTTAAACTATTTTCTTCTTAAAATTTCTGTCCATTTTATCCTCTTACAAGTCATTATGTAATTCTCAGGTATATTTCATTGTAAATTTAGTTCTTTAGGTACCATATAACATAATTCATGAAAGAGAGAGAGAGCAAGTTTTAACGTATTAATTTCTGAAATACATATGACATCTGAATTTCCTTCAATGGTAATTAGTTTAGTTTTAATCTCTATATTGTATGTAGTAAGTATTTTCAGTTTTAAGGGGAGTATTCCTATAATGTACATTCAAATTCATCGAAATAATTTTTCTGGATAATGTTTATGACTATTTCATTTTGTGTATAGTATTCATTATAAACTAATGTTAACTTATGTAATCATTGAAATTCAGTGATTACTGAATAGTTGTTACAATGTCTTTAGATGCTCTGGTATGGTCGAGGGTAGGGAGAGTAAGCTCTCCCATTCGAAATGCTCTCATATGGCCACGTGCATACAGCCACTGCCAGTGAAGTCCTACTCACTGCCTTTTCGTGGCGGTGATATTTTCACGAAATTGAGAGGATGAAAATGGAATGTCCAGCGCTTTAACCGGGTTAGTGGATATGGGGAATCCAACTAGTGAAGTTGGAAAACTCTGATTCCAAACCAATGGTGTACATGGGCTCGAGGATTCTGAGATAACAAATAGCGTATGAACCAATTGTTAGTCACCGACTACCATGGGACTGCATCTTCTGACGTTGCTCCGTGTGTGGTCCCCCTAAGAAAACCACCTGCTTCGGTCTTGGCACAGCTTACACACAAATCAAGTGATTTGTGTGACGCATATGTATCTGATGGCTCCTTGTATCAATATTTATGTATTCAACTAAATAAATAAATCACAAAACAACAAGACATCGTACCTGTAACTTTTAGGTTTCAAAGTGAACACAATTAAAGAATTTAGACCAATTGGTCAACATTTCCAACTATAATCAGTTGATGATTCAATTTGACAATCATTCAATACAATAACGATTGATCGTTATGAATCATATCTCCCCCTTACAACTTCTTTTTCCACAAAAAAAAAACACATTTATTTTCAATAACTTTTTCAATTATCTTCCAAAACGTTTTGAAATTTTTAGAAAAACGAAAAGAACAAACATTAAACAAAACAAATAAATATGCCTATTTAGATTGATATCATGAATGGATCAATATTAGACGATTATTGAAAACCTAGAAGCATTGGATGATCATTTTATCGTAGTATAGGACTCCGTGTGCTGGATGCATGGATGCACACTGTTGAGTAATCTCATACTAGAATGAAACAGTCATCCATTATTTCCTGGTTTCCAATGATGATCTAACATTGATCTATTCATAATATCAATCTAGACTTTACAATACTGATAAATATAGCTATATACATAGTCTATATTAAATATTGTAAAATGAATTTCATGATAAATTCACACATTTAAGCACACCTACATCAAATGATTTTAATTCAATAAATCAGTTCCTTTTTATTGTTTCTACCCTATAAATAAATTGACAGTTTGTTGTGTATTACATAATATAGATAATATTACGCAATAACATAGTGATTCATTCATGGAATAATACTATGTATCTATGTGTATCCATCTATCTATATATATGTGCATAAACTATACACCCCCCTAACCCCAACCCCACCCACACATAATTGTGCATTTTTATAATAAATAGTGTTATGTCATCAAATTGAATATATAATTTATATAATACGAATTATTGTAGATTATTATTGTAATTAACATAATGGAGATAATTTACAGTTGGTACATTATCTGTTTATTAAATTTACTTTTAAATGGAAAAAGTGAGTAAATCAATAATTAAAAAAACAGTCAATTTTTCTTTTTGTTTTTTTCTTTTTTTTCCTTGTTTTTCTTTTTTTTTTTAAAAAATTCTTTTCATTAAATTGAATACTCTTGAATCAAACTTAATAATGATTGATATTGGGATAATTGAAGTGATAATTAATTAGCTAAATGTTTATTTATTTATATCATTTATTTCAACATATAAACATTGATACAAGAAGGCACCAAACAGATATACGCCATATAAATCATTTGATTTGTGTGAAGGCTAGGATACTGTCCGAGTGCCTATACTGAAACAGGTGGTTTTCTTAGGAGGACCACATCTGGAGCCTTTGACTTAAAAGTTTAGTTCATAAGGCAGTTGAGCAAAGTTAAAAGATACAATCTCACAGTAGTCGGTGACTAATAATAGGTTCATAGGCTATTTCTTAAAGTACCGGACATGCATTATTCGTCCTTTCAATTTCGTAAACAACACCTCCCCCACGAGAAGGAAGTGGTAGTGGTTGTATATGTGTGGTCATGTGAGAGCATTTCGAGTTGAAGAGTTGACTCTCTCCATCCTCAACCTTATCAGGGTGTTTGAACACGATCATTCATAATCTGTATGATATATATCGAGAAATTAAAGCTGTCATGTGTGTCCAAAATATATATTTAATTTCAAAAGTATTACAATGAATTATTTACCAGCTGAACAACATAAAATAAGTTAAAAGTTGAAATTAACACAACATATCAGTTGACGAATAATTCCTTCTTGGTGTCGTGAAGTTGATGATGATGATGATGACCTAAAAACGTACGTATCTTTACCTCGAATATAATTTTCTCTGTTGTCTAACGTAACACTTTAGTTTGGTAGCAAATACTAATAATTAAATTGATGAGGATTGGATTCAAGTCTCTCACTTGGACATCGACATTGAGATCAAAAATCATCTAGTTGAATGGTACTAAACTGTATGAACTGAATGTTGTGAATCGTACACTTAGCTGTTATCTGAAAATCGGTTAAATAAAATTATTGGATGATTACAAAAAAACATGAATCCAAGAGGTACTAACTCTGATCCGAGAACTATTGATTATCTTAAAAATACTTTTCATTCAATGGTATAAGTTAAGATATCACCGTATACCTAAAAGTACTCTTTGTAAATCTCTATGTGGTGTTTAATCATGATCAATATTTAGGATTAAACATAAGATTTTAAAGTCTTATAAAGAGCATAATATATTTAGAACATTCAACCGCTTCAAATTTTGAGTTACTCATTCAATATCTTCGATGTAATGAATTGCCATAAGGAAAAGTTATCATTAAAATGTCGGGTAGAAACAGGTGTCTACCTCAGTACAATGGGAGATGGTCGCGCAACTTCGTGGATAGGTTGAAGTTAGAAATTAACACCGTTGGATGCCGGCTCAGTAGTACATTAGGTTAAGCTTTCGCGCGCGAGTCTGAAGACCCTGGGCTCGAACCCCGCGAGCGGGATCGTGAATGCGCACTGCTGAGTCCCAAAATAGGACAAAACGGTCATCCTGTGCTTCCAAGTTTTCCATGGTGGTCTAAGATCAATTGGTACATGATCTCAATCATTAAATGGATGAACTTCCAGAAATGAAATGACAATACAACCTTTTTATCTTCATCTGTAACTCAAGTGAATGTCTGATCCTGAAAATGTTAGATGATTGAAATAGTCATCCCAATAGCTGATATGATGATCAAGAAATGTGCTTGACATTCAGATCTTATTTTACTGGTGAGTGAGAGATCAACAAAACTAATTTCCTCTAATCACTTAAAAGATATAGCTATGTTAATTTTTCTGGTTATTAATTTTCATACAGACATGTTGTTATACTCGATTAAAAAAAACCTCGATGCTACTAACGTCGACCGATATAAGTAGTATGTGTCATCAGTCGAAAGTGAAATGCCTGGAGATAGAAGGTTAAGAAGACTGAAGGAAAGAGAATGAGAACAGAGAATGATTACTGTAGAAGCGAAGAAACTATGAAGTCTGAGTAGATTGTTTGATATTTTGCAAATGAAGTATTTACTATATGGTTCTCAGATTTTTCTAAGACGTTCTGTAATTTGTGTGTTGATATATATTCGATTATCCCTATTTGCATTCTCGTTTACTATAGCATCCTCTTAATATTTTCGGTATTATTAAATTCTTTGAGATGAGTAGCTGAAGTTTTCAGTTGTGATTGTTGTTTTGAAGATCTTCAATTTCGATGGGTTTTTTTCTCTGAGCTGGATGGTTTGGTCACGGAGTTTTCATCGTTCTTCTGAACGACATCATCAGCAAAAACTTCAGACAGAAGTAAAGTGTTCGAATTTCTCCATATGCGTTTTACAGCTTGTTCTGTACACCTCAATGTTGATTGGCTCTTATCGACTTTAAATTTGTCATTGTTTACTTCTTTGTTTAGTCTGTGTCTCCCATTGGTTTGATATTTATTCTTATATTTGTGTATCATTTTAATGAAGTTTTGTTCTCTGAACTGGATGGTTTGATCGTGGAACTTTCATTGTTCTTCTGAACGACAATATCAGAACAAACTTCTACCTTCGCGACCAAACCATTGAGCTCAGCGAATAAACCTCCATCCAAATCTTCTCAAACATATTACTTTTAGATTTATTTAGTTTATAAATGTTATACTGATTGCATAGTAATCTTTATTTAGAAATATCACTGTGTATATAAAAAAAATTAAGATGAAATGTTTGTAAAGAGAACGTTTCAGAAAGTAGAACTATTACTGTGGTGAACGAGAACTAAAGTGAGAAACATCAACATACCAAAATATGAAAATTATACAGACACATATTTACGTTCTGCTTTACATACTCCATTATTCCTCTAATTCTGTTGTTGTTTTGATTGGTCAACGATTTCTTTTCTGTTCTCTGCATTGCAATCTTCTGCTATCAAGCATTTCACTTTCTATTACGGCTATATACTACTTAAATCTGTAAGTATAAGTAGCATACATCACAGTATTAACAATTTACATTCCTTTTTCTTATTTCAGTCGGTCAAGCGCAAGAAGATAGTAAGTTTTAATTACGATATTCTCTTAAACTTACTGTTAAGTCTCCCTGATATATATATATATATATATATATATATATATATATATATAAGTATGTACATAGAAGTACTGAACAGTTGTTTCTTATTGGTATGAAATGGAGTAGTAACATGCGTCAGTGATTCCACATGAAATCCTGATCCGGATAGCTGTACGATAATCTTACAGACTAAACCAAACATTTGAGAAATAAATGACTATTGGTGGAATAATCATGAATGTATTAAATACTACTATTCCAGTTTATTTTTTGATAGCAGTATTACTAGTTTTGGTGCTCTTTTCTTTTTTATGACTGTTATCCCTTGTGGACGAGCATGGGACTCTAATCCACTCTGTTCTAAGCTCTGCTTTCCAGCTGTTTTCAGATGCTATTCATCCCTTTGATATCAGCTTCCAATTCTCAATGCAGTGTGTTCTTTGGCCTTCCTCTTTGCCGTTTCTCTTCAGGATTCCAAGTTGGCACTCGCCTCGTGATCCAGTTTGATGATTTTCTCAACGTCTCTCTATAATTTGCTCTTCAGATGGAAGCAGATTTGTTCTCTCTCACAGTAGGTTGTTGCTGATGTTATCCAATCAAAGCACAATTACTTAGAAATTATTGTACATGTTTGATGATGGTTGTAGTAGTTCTTCAAGCTTCAGATACGTACAACAGAACAAAGTGACTTGACATTCGTATTGCAAATTCTGAATTTGATGTTGGCTGAGAGCTGTTTTGAGTTGCAGATGTTCTTCAATTGTAGGGATGCTGCCCTTACCTTACAAATTAGTGACTTCAAATCTGCATCCGATTCACCTTGTTCATCGGTGACACTCCCCAAATATGTGAAAGTTGAGACCTCTTCCAGAGCTTCTCTATTAAGTGTGATTGAGTTGGTAATCTCTGAGTTGTATTTGAGGATCTCGGTTTTTTCCTTGTGTATGTTGAGGCAAACTGATACAAAGACTGTCACTACACCAGCTTTCCTCATCTGCATTTGTTTATATGTATGGAATAGTAGAGTGAGGTCATGTGAGTATTCCATATCGTCTAGTTGCATGCAAGCTATTCATTGTGTTTCATGCTTCTCCTCAGATGTCGAGGTCTTCATAATCCAGTCAACCACAGCTTTTAATCTAATTCATTTTTTTAAAGTGTTTCCACTGAGACAGACGAGGAAGTGTTTTTGGATAAATATCATAGAATTGACTTACTATGTCTGTGTCATTACAATTCCCACAACTCAAAGTAAGAACACCAAGACTGGTACAATTGAAGATTTATTAAACGGCAAAATACCACAACGACTGAAGTCAAAAATACACTCATCATATATTAATTGTACATTCATCAATGCATTTCAAATACTGAATTTTTTTTATCTAATCGACATCTACTAAAATCTACACAAAACCTTTTCTGATAATAATCATCATATGCACACTAGCGAATGGCTTCAAGAGGTATTTCCTGAAGTTCTAGTGAGAAGCCATGACCAGTGGAGTTCATCCAAGTCTGTTTTGAGATAGTCACTCACTGAACACAATGGTGGATGTTTGGTTGAATTTTTGACGGAGTTTCGTTCTCTGAGCTGGATGGTTTGGTCGTGGAGCTTTCATCGTTCTTCTGAACGAAATCATCAGTACAAACTTCAGATAGAAGTGAAGTGATCGAATTTCTTCATATGAGTTTCGCAGCTTGTTCTGTGCACCTCGATGTCGTGGATTAGTTGAAGTTAGAAATGAACACCGTTAAATGCCGACCGGCTCAGTGGTCTGATTTCGAATCTTGCGAGACGAAATCATGAGTACACACTACTGAGGAGTCTCACAATAGGAAGAAACGGCTTTCTGTTATATTTTATGCCCTGTGTCCTTATTATTGTATAACGTAATGATACCGCCAATTAAAGAACAGTGAATTGTCGATTGGACCAATGACGCATAAAACAAGTACGAGCAGTCTTGAGTCCTAATTGGTCTTGCTTCCTGCCTTGCATAGCCGGTTAAGTGCAGAACACCGATTTCAACCTCTACAATATGAATCATTTATTTTAAACATACTCGGTTTATATACCAACTAGACAGACCACATCATACCATAAAATAGAAAACAACATTCGTACAAGATCTAGTCACATGTGGCTGTGAATGTGGTAGATAGCATTTGATAGACTGGGCATAACTCAAGAATGGTAGATTGTATAATAACAGTTCATAGGTCAACACTCAGTTTATGATAAGAGGGACACGAATTTGAACAGTTATACAATAAAAATATACATATAGTATTGGTTCATAAATGGATTCCAATAGTTACCATTCATTATTCTCATCAGGATACAACACTGTCCAGTGCTTCTAGGTTTTCCATGGTTGTCTAGCTTCAATTGACTCATGAATCCAACTATAAAAATTATTAAAATCTCCATAAAACCCCTTCTGATAATAATCGATAACTGTTTTCATATGGATATTTCTTTTCAATGAGTTTCAATTGTGATTAATATCATAGCAACTATTTATCAACAATTCTCTTGATAGATCTAAATGATTCAAAGTTCAAACATTGAATGTTGAACGAAAAATAATATTTTGGCTAAACCATAACTATTCTCGTTCGCAAACTATGTGAACCCGTGATAGCTCTCTTTTTCAAACCCTAACAGTAAATCCTTGTTATATGTCAATAATTTTAACTGAATATTAGATATATGAAACCAGAAAACATGATCCTATTTACAAACTTGAATTTAATGTGTAACTTTCTATCGTTTGCTTATGAAACAAAGCACGAATTCGTGACAATCAACGCACACACACACACAAAGATAATTAATTTATTTACATACTTACGTCTGTTATACGTCATAGAGGAGCATATGCAGTTCAGCAGGATTCTCTATCCAACTTTGTCCTGAACAATCCTATCCTGTCGCTATTGATCCTCTTCACATCTACTTCTAATTCTGTTCGTAGTGTATTGTTTGATCTTCATCTTTTACGTTTTTCTTCAGGATTCCAAGTTAGCGCTTGTCTCGTGATGCAGTATGATGAATTCCTCAATGTGTATGCTATTCATTTCCAAGGTCTTTTCTTAATTTCCTCTTAAGCTGGATGTTGGTTTGTTCTCTCCGACAGTAGGCTGTTGTTGATGGAATGATAAATAAGACTTGTGTATGTTCTAAACGTGTTAAAATAACCGTTTTGTTATCGATGTTCAATAAATCCTTTTCTTTGTTCATTTAGTGGATCAACGGAGTATATAAGAGAATAATTTTCACTGAAAATTGCATTTCCACCATCTAACGTCATATAAATATGTCTTTTATAAACAAATCACTCTACCACATCCCAAAGTACTGAGTGAAAACAGAAAATCAAGTGAATGTTGGAGGTTGAAACGAAATCCTCTATGTAAACCATTCTCTACACACAGTATTCACTTACTGAATAAAGCGGAAAGTGTTGCATATTGCAACTACATAGATCAACGTTATCTTGTTGGTTTTCATATGATCTGAATGCTTTCAATTCTTTCGTCTATGTGATTGTTTATTTATGATATTTGTACTTGATTGCACGCTTATTAAGAATTACAACTATAAAACGTTTAGTAGTGCTCATCTAGTTCTACCTGACTTCAATTGAACTATTTCAGGAATCCTAGGTTAACACATTAATTTGAATACTTCTATTTAGCATAGTATTTCTCACTGTTAAGTTATCTTAAACCTTATGGATTCAATCGCTTAATGATCCTTGAATATCGTTTATTCTTCAGTTGATGTTAACTTATTTCACTCATGTAACTTTCAAAGTATGCAAAAAATTCTGCATATAAACACATGCCTCAATAAATTTAAACTGGTATATTAGTTACTTTAATCTAATTATTTGAATGTTTAGGTTCCACAGAAGACCCAATTACTGGTAAGTCTGATCATTTCATTATTTACTAACTTACTTATGCCTGTTACTCCCAATTGAGCATAGGCCGCTGACCAGCATTTTCCAATCCACTCTATACTGGGTCTTCCTTTCTAGTTCTATTCAATTCTTATTTATTCTTCTCATATATATCTCCATTTCTTAATGTAATGTGTTCTTTGCTCTTCCTCTCCTCCTTTGGCCTTGAGGATTTGAAGTGAGGGCTTGCCTTGTAATGTAGTTGAGTACTTTCCTCAGTATGTGTCGTACCCACTTCCAGCACTTTTTCCTGATTTCTTCTTCTGTTGGGATCTGTTCATAACTGTGTATATTTCATTTAGGCAATTTTTTAAAGTTTCATTAAGACTTTGTCATACATATTTTCAATGGAAGTTGATAAATATACTTTTTTAAATCATGTCATATATACTTACGCATTTTTCTTAATTGAAATGAATTGATCGATTACATGGTTGTTTACATTTGTCAAAATGTAACGAAAATTTAGACAGAACTATCATTTTCAGTAAAATTAGAAACATTATTTTCTACTGTCAGATTCCTGGACTGAATTTCGTCGAGAACAAATCTGTCACTTTAGAACAATCATCGTCTTTATAAGTAAAGGTGTATGATGACTATTGGTGAAATCCACGATGCACGTAGTTATCTGGAATCAGTAACTAAGTGGATAACGCAATGGCGTTTGAAGCCAAACGGTACTGGGTTTGATTACCGAAATGAACATCAACTCTGTGATACAGGTACATCGATCTGACGAGTCCCAAATAGGACGAAACGTGCGTATTGGATTCTACTACTAACCACTATCCATCTTTGCTTATAATGCTTGTGACTTGAGGCAATATCGATGCATCACGAGCAGTATACACGTATACTGATAAGAGACTGATCAATTGCAGTCCTAAATATCAATGAGAAGATTCAAACAAACAAATTACCGTCTTCTTTTCTAGTATTTGAAAATGACCAAATTCTGATGATTATTTTGTAACATTTTGATCACTTTACAATTATATAGTGGACTGAAAGTGATGTGTATATGAATGAGGAGTAGGATCAGTATATTTTAAGAATAACGTTAGTGTAGTAAAATTCTAATAAATTGTAGGTCTGACTTAAGGTGCTAACGTCAACAAAGGTAAGGTCAAGGAGATAAAACAAATATCTAGACTATTTTAGATACACGATTAAAAGTAAATGACCATCTAGACTTACTCAGAATATATTTTTATTGAAATGATAGAAATAATCTGTAGCCAAAATAAGCACTTTTGATAATGCTGTGTTTCATTAAGTGAAATGTTAAATTGAAAGGCATTCATTATCATTTTGAACAATATCATCAATCTTTACTTTAAATGAAAGTGAACTTTTTAAGAACCTTTCCACATTCATTGAATTAGTCTATTCTAATGAATTTGTTTATGATTGATCGTCTTAGTAGGATTGACCATTTTCATACTTCTTTGGATTCTTGCTGTTTGCTTTGTTCTCTTGAACTCTGACCATATAACAGATAGATTTTGTCCATATGGATTGATCGCTTATATCTACTTCCATCTGTCTAATGATTCTATTTAGACATGAATGACATATATCTTTACATTCTTTAGCATGTTTGAAATTTGCTTGATCCACAATGATTCCTTACAAATAGTTATTACTTGTATACACTGATATAACTGATAGTATCCTTTGCAGTGTTTTGAATTCAGACTTTATTATAATAGTATATAATATATTGTTGTCAAGTTACTTTATTCAAACAGTTTTTTTCTTTCTCGGTTTTATTGGTATATAAAATATGGCAGATCCTACCACTTTCGGTAAGTTACATAATTCTCTTTGTAAACGAATTGTTTTAACCTAACTCCTGTATACATAAGAATTGGTACTAAAAAATAAAAGAGATACACATTAAGGTAACTGTTTTCTGGAATCAACCTTGAAAATTTATTGCTTTATAGATTACTTTCTTATTTGTTAGATCAGTCAATCACATGTCATAATCACATTCCAATTAATTAGACTTAATAGTTAAGAACATCCTTCATTTGAAGCTAGATCACCATGGAGAACCTAGAAGCAATAGATGGCCGTTTCGCCTTAGTATGGGACTCCTCAGCAGTTTGTGTACAGGATCCCGTCCCGAGAGACTCGAACCCAGGATCTATAGGTCTCGCGCGTGAACGCTTAATCTCGAGACCATTAGGTCAGCCGGCATCCAACGTTATTAATGTCTAACTTCAACTAATCCACGAAATTGAGCCACACATCCATCATTGTGTTCAATGAGTTACTATCTCACATCGGACTCGATTTCACTCACGGGTACGAATCTCGCGAGATTGGATCGTGGATGTGCACCGCTGAGGAGTCCCATACGATGACGAAACGGATTTCCAGTGCTTCCAGGTTTTCCATGATGGTCTAGCTTTAATTGACTCATGAATTAAACTGTAAAAACTACTAAAATCTCTAAAAAAACCCCTTCTGGTACTAAGTAGGTTCAACTAACTTTTTAATACTAACTTGTCTAGCATAGATCATACAACTCAAAGTTGAGTAAATAAAACTATCCTTACTAAACGAATTACATTGGACGTTTAAATCTCCTTAAGAGAATATCCAATAACGTTGTATCCATGACTTGTAATTATAATGAAGTCTTTTTCTAGGACTACTGGCACATTCAACAATTTATCGATAAATTTAATTTGCTAAGAACTCAAAAGATGATCACCTATATTGATAAGCTACATTAAATCTACACTACATAATATCAGAAGTTTATTTAAGCTACTGATGTGAATTAGAAATTACCTTTTCAATTCTATCTAAATCTTCATATTCTTTGGTTGTATCTCAAATAATCTCAGTTTATGACAACTGCAAACTAATTGATGTGACTATAAATTATGAACGACCTTTGAGTGATGTTAAAGTGATCTTGAAAATGTCCACCTACTTACTAAGACTAAATGAGAGTTATAAAGTAGTGTGAGGAATTACAAGTATGATTTACAGTTGATAATAAAGGTTAAGAACTAGATATAGGGTTTTCATCACGAACTGACATCAGCTACAATGCCAAAACTCTATTTAGCCAAATGAATACATGAATTTTGCAGCAAAATCCGAAAACGATTATCTCATATCTGATTGGTTCGTCCATAAATTGAAATTTCATCTATTTATAATAGTAATGGTTTTGCAACAGTCTTCTAAGAATTTAACACTTTCATTTAAAGGCTGTTAACATATATACATGTAACCAACTTCTTATTTAATGTAATCTTTTGTCAATCTTAAATCTAACATTTTCTTCTGGTACAAATCCATGAAGTCACTGACAAGTGGACTGAGCCATGTTGGTAGGTGTAGACTACCTGGTCGGAGTCTTCGAGATGACAGCAACCGATGGTTCGAGACCCTGAATGACATGGCTCAAAATCGTTTGCAATGGTGCAGGTGCATCCACTCTTTTTGTCCCTCCGAATTCTAATCTTCTGAATTCTTCATGCCCCGTTTTTTCTCTTTCCAATTTTATTTCACTGGATTATACTCCTTGAATAACATCTTCAAACCCTAATCCTTCAGATTACTGCTTATACTCTTATTACCTCTACCAACTGCATCTCTGTGCTAATATGGTATGACAGCTTGAACTGATACACGTACTTATGAAGTTCTACGTTGTTACTGACTGACTGACTGACTGACTGACTGACTGACTGACTGACTGACTGACTGACTGACTGACTGACTGACTGACTGACTGACTGAACAATTTCTTCATTATTATTATGCAATTAGTTTCTGAATCATATGCTTACTATTCATAATACAAACTATTCATTATTGAAATGTATCATCTAATTTAGTTGCAAAAGACTAAATAGACATAGAATGATTATTAAAGTACATTGGAATAAGTTAAGTAATCCTTAACTATTCTGTTTTCCTATTTTAAGTTTCGACTATTTTCTAATATTAAATCATTCTTATGATTATCTGGATTTATAGATAATACAACAATGACTAGTACAACAAGTGAGTTCAGTGAGTGAAGTTTTCAAGCTTCATTTCAATATGATTATTTATACATATACTTGTAATAAACAGTGAGATATTACATAATTAAGTAGTTCATAATGTTTGTCACTTCTTTTCAACTGAAAGGTTGAATGTATAAGACTATGCTTGGATTACTTACTTAAAGTAACATGTCTTATGGCTTGTTATATATCAAGTGATTAAATCGCCAATAGTATACCGACTTCTGTAACCTTATTCTTGTACTAAACCAATGATATATCAAACAGCACTACTAGTATTGAGTCAATTCTGAATCTTTTATTGATCTTCTGTTTCGTAGCTTAGTACCTAATCCAGCTTGTACAGTCCAGAACACAAATATCAGTTTTCTCTGTGTGAATCATATATTGCAGACATACTTAATTTATATACCAGCATACCAAACCACTTCACACCATAAGAGGAAACAGAAGAATTAGAAAAAATTCAGTTAAAAGTGGCTATGAGTGTAAAATACCGTATCTAATAAACTGAGAATAACTTAGTAATAGTAAATCGTATAACAGTGGTTAATAGATCAAATGAAAGCTTATGGTAAAAGGAATATATGTAATAATAGTCCATAAATAACACCTAGCAGTTACTACTCCTTTATTCTTCGTTCGGAAAGAATATAATCATACACTGGGAATATATCACCGCTTATATACTTATGGTTGTTTGTAAATTTATGTATGATCATATACTTAAACATATTACTTTTATGTAGTAGACATGAACATGGTTTACTAATGAACATTTTTATCACTTTAAAATCAATATAAGAAGGGGTTTTATGGATATTATGGTAATTTCAACAGTTGAGATCATGAACCAATTGAAGCTAGATAACCAAGAAAAACCTGGATGCATTAGATGGCCGTTTCGTTTCTTGTATGGGACACCTCAGAAGTGCTCATCCACGATCTCGCCTAGCAAGGTTCGAACTCAGATCCTATCAGTCTCGCACATGAACTCTTAACCTCGGGACCATTAGGCAGGCCTACATCCAACGATGTTAATGTTTAAGTTTAGCTAATCTACGAATTTGAGCCACACATCCACCATTGTCTTCAGTGGGTTACTATGTTACAACAGACCAGGTTGAACTCGATTGGTTTTCCATGTTGGTCTAGCTTCGATTGACTCATGATCTCAACTATTGAAATTAATAAACAAATCTGATTTCAATCCGTGAAGTAAACTGTATTTAAATTAAAGACATCTTTATTAATGACATATCTACATGTTGGTAATATTCCTAACGACAACTACGTTCGAAGTGGATCTCTTGCAGGTTTTCTAGGAATCAACGAATTTAAATGATAGACTACAATTCACTGATAATATTAGATGTGACTCTAGATATATCATCATGTATGGACTATATTTGTAAGCATATGATGCAAGATTTCTAGTCATCTGTTTAAAGATATAGAGCACTATTAGTTCAGTGAAGGTTGGAAATTTATTCATTTCTGAAGTTGTGGTTACGTATTGTTGAAACATCTGATAATAGATTCTAAATTGACTCAGAAAACTATCACTTGTTAAATCCTATTAATTGTATAAATACCTTGCTAGTGGACAAATTATTTGGCAAAATATAGCTTACTTATGTACTATGTACTGTAATCTTAATTGTTATATCTATCAAGTTACATGTAATGCTGAGTGTACTTCACCTTATTTATTTCAGCCAATAAACCAAAAGAGGAAAGTGAGTTCCATATAGGACCTTCTATTTGTTGATGTTTCTTTTGATGTTCATCGTTTTCATGGATATAGTAGTTACTACTAGAAATTTGTTTTCAATTAAAGTTAACATTAAACTGGTGGTTAAATTCAATCCATGTAGGTTTGAATCCTGCGAGGCGGGGTTGTGGGTGTGCACTGCTGAGGAGTTCCACAATAGGATGAAATGGCCGTCCAATGCTTCTAGGTTTTCCATGGTTGTCTAGCTTCAATCGACTCATAATCTTAACTGTTGAAATTATTTCTTATTTCTCATTATAGCATATAAGTAATATCTTGATTATGTTCATTCGATTTTCTTCCATATTGATATCGAATCCATTTTAATACAAATTTCGTTTACTTTAAGCCATGAATCCATGTTATAATTTCTAACTTGAGACTGTTTAGTTAAGCCAATGTTGACAAGAAAAAAACGAAATTGAATTTTTCATGAATTTCTTGTATGAAACAAATAAGTTCCCAATGTCTTTTCATATAAGTGACCACAATGAAAAACGTTTAAGCAATTCAATTAAGGGACGAGTATACTGTGGGGCAGTTCATTCTCTTCTAATTTGAAGCTGCGAAATGTGGCCATAAAGAGTAGAAGATACTCGCAAGTTACTAGTATTCGATTACAGATGTCTTAGAAATATTGCTCGCATATGCTGGGATCACCGGGTGAGTCATAGTGAGGTTAGACGCACGGTATTAGGGAATGATGGTAAATCAGTTGATGAGATTGTAAATCTTCATCAACGGCAATGATTGAGTAACGGGCTACGTATACCTGAACATCGATTACCACAACGCACAATGCTGACTCGTGTTGGAGGTGGTTGGAAGAAAGTTAGGAATGGTCAAATCAAAACATGGAATCAGTCCACAGAGTCACTAACTTCTAGTCTGAGCCATGTTGGTAGATGCAAACTACTTGCTTGGGGTCCGCGTGACTACCATAGACAATGGTTGGAGACTGTGAGTGACATGGCTCAGAATCGATCACAACGGTGTAGGTGTATACACTCTCTATCTTTCCTTAAACTATGAAACTAAAATTATTTCATATCTTTCTTTCTACCACCGAGTTCTTTCTTCCTGTAATATATCCTTATACACAATCTCTCTTTTATAAATTACTAACATTGAAGTAATTACTCCTATGAATATGGTATTGATCTTGTTGTGTTAATGAGGTAGGACAACTTAGACCGATACATATATGTGCCTGGTCCTACGTTGTAGCTAACTAACTGATTGATGATATTAATTCAAAGTCTTGGCATAGATTAATCATTTACATATCGAATTTCAAGAAAATAAAACTTAACTACTCAAGAACATTAGTTCTTTATTCTAATTATCGCGAGAGACTTTGGATAAGATCTGATTATTTTGTCGATAAACTTTTAGACTAACAATTGGGAGAGTAGTGAACTTTCCGTACTAATGAATTCCAGGAATCCTGCTTGAATATCTGGGCTACCTGTTCCTACCATCTGGATATTTCAACAACTTGTCTGATTTATTATTTCGTTTAACATATCATTATGCCTATTAGTCACATAATCTATTTAGAAGCGTTTGTGATAAGTTTATGACATTTCACTGTACAAGTTACAAATAAGCCTAATCAGTGACATCGTGGTTCCTGGCAACAGTATATATTGAAAAGAATGTACATTATTCAAATATTGATTCCTGAACTGCTAATTTCTAACTGGCGACCACTCAATATTTATCGTGAAGAATCGACCAAGAAATAAGTAACGGAAACTTGTTGAAGTACTTGATGCTGATAGTTCTATATTGTATCAAAAATATAATTCAGATTCAGATTTCAGATTTGTGTAGTGAGAACAGAAGGCCTACGTCCTATGTTATTCCTTTTCTAATATGCTTCTATGAGTGTCCAGTCTTCTCTTGAATGAGACAATTGAAGGTTCGGACACCACTGCTTCGGATAACAGTGATGAATAAAGCCACTAATAATAATAATAATAATAATAATAATAATAATAATAATAATAATAATAGTTTTGTAGTGTTATTTTAATGTTTCTTGTTTTTGTGTCTTTATCCAATTTCAGACTCTACGACAGATGACACTACTTGTAAGTTTAATTGTTCATGAAAATGAGTATATCAGTTATATCTAAAAGAGATGAAGATTCTTCTATAAAATAGATTACTTGTTAGTTTAGATTTTATACCGACTGATTTATGGTTGAAGTTATTCCCAACTGTCTGCTCTGAAAACGTGTAGTATAGCGTAGTGTCGGCCAAAGTTCTAGGAGAACGATACACATATGCAGTAAACATTCAGTCTTCAGATCAAAACCTTTATGAATATTACACAATAATATTGATATAACAATGGAATAAAAATACTTCTTTTTCAACAAGATCCTCTACCATAATACGATTATACTACCATTAGACTGTATACTTCATCGATGAGTTATACACGGACTGGAATCATGTTATATCAAATACTTGATCCATGACCAGTTATATAGTGAATCAGGGTATAGGTTAGGTTATTGTTAGACAACTTTTGAAAACCCAGTAGCCCTGAATGGCCATTCGGTTCTAGTATGGAACATCTCATCAATGGGCATCCACGCCTCGTACTTCAACATTTCGTCTCTAAACAAATGAGCCGGTATCCAATAGTGTACAAGTTGAGCTTCTATCAATATAAAATATTCAGTTGACTGAATGTTTGTTTGTCCACGCTCAGTAGCCAATCACATCAATACACAGCCAAATACAGTACATCAAATGAAAAATGATCGAATGTAATAAGGCACGTATTGTGGACGTTACGGATAACGGAGCTACGTAACTTTTGTTTAAATATTTACTCACCTAAAAGACTTTCGTTTAATCTCTCATGGTAACACATAATCTTTCCATATGATCATGATATGGACAATGTTTAGAGCGAATACATGTGACAAAACAAACAGGTAGTTGACTATAAACATCTTTTAACAAGATCTCAAAAAAGAAATGTTTCAATTAAATATTATGAAGTGAAATGATCTTAATTTTCAGTGTGAAACAAAATTTACCGACTAGCGATCTTTAGCTAACTCTCTCCTGGGCTTTCGTTTCAAGATGTTCCCATGTGGTATTCAGAATCCTAATTTATGCCTTTGATTCCCGGTGCAGTTGTTGCTCTAGTTTTCAGAAGGAAAATCAGCCTCATGATTTCCGAAGAATCCCAGCTTTCATTATTAGGCATCATGACTTTACTAAATAAAGGTCCTTCAACTCCTAGGACAGAGTTTAAATGGCTAAAATGATTCGTTCTGGTTAGCGTATATTATTAATAAATTTCTTGTTAACAGAATAGAGTCGGTAAACCCGTGCTCAACCATTCTCCTCTATCCGGGCTTGGAACTGGAAGTAGTCTTTAGTAGGCTCTAAGTGAAGTTAGTTCTGTAGTTTATAGATAGCACAATCACTCTGAAACATCAATCTCATATCCCTAATCTTTATCAAGTTTGTTGATGAATTTCATATAAGAGTGAAATATTCAATCTAAGTTAACCACAATGTCATTGATCTCTTCTTATCATCATCATCATCATCACCTACGTAAATAAAAATATGTTCATTTCATTTGTTATTCACTTTTTTACTTTGTAGATACTACAACCCCCAGTTATTCTAGTGAGTCTTATTATTCCATTTCATTTATTCCAATATATTTTGATGGAGCTGGATGGTTTAGTCGTGGAACCTTCATCGTTCTTCTGAGCAATATCATCAGCCCAAACCTCAGGTGGAAGTGATGTGTTCAAACAAACAAAAGGGACACCTATGGGATCATCAATATCAGAACTTATCACAGAAGCAGTGAAAAACTTGATGATGTCGTTCAGAAGAACGATGAAATTTCCATGACTAAACCATCCAACCCAGAAAACAAAACTTCATCAAAACAATCCACGTGAGCTATAAATCTTCTCCACTCTAATATATATTTTCACTGAATTGATTACTCAGTTGATTTATATCCTGAAATGAAAGTTTCTAGATTGATTTAGGGTTGTGAAGATAGTTGAGTTTCATTGAAATCACAAGTCGATCTATGTTAGATTCCCACTGAAAATCTGGGAGTAATTGACGTTTGTATCATTCTAGTATAAAAGTCTTCAAAGGTGCGCGTTCACGAGCTCATACGCGGGAATCTAACCCAGCTACTTTGGCTCCATATATGCTTAAACTCTAGCTAACTGAGCTGGTATTCAGCGGTGTTAATGCCAAACTTCAATCAGTCCACGATATCACACGACCGTCTCCCATTGTCTTCGGTGTGTAACTGCCTTTAGAGGTTAGGTGTTTGCGTGCGAGATCGGAGTGCCCAGGTTTGGCTCTCGAACGCGGGGTCGTGTGTGCGCACTACTGAGGAATACCACACTAAGATGAAACTACCAACTAGTGTTTTCAGATTTTCACTGGCGATCTACCATTGATAGATTCATGATTGTAATGACACTAATCATTAAATCGATTATTCTAACCTGATATTTGTTTGGTTAAACACGCTGTGTCATCAAATTAGTACACCTCATAAAACTAGATTCTTGAACAAATTTCTTAACATCGTCTACATTTGTATATTCGTTAAACATCACTTAATAGCTGAAGTCACGGAAGTAAATCTTGTCTTAATCGGAAGTCAGATGTGTCTTAATTGATATAATATTTTGAATCCCTCAAATGCCTTAGTACGGCCAAGGGTGGGGAGAGTCAGCTCTCCCTCTCCAAATCCTCTCTCATGGACATACGCATACAGCCACTGTCAGCAAAGTCCTACTCACTACATTCTAGTGGCGGAGGTGTTGTTTACGAAAATGAGAAGACGAAAAGCGAATATCCGACTCTTTAAACGGGTTGGTGAACATGGAGAGTCCACCTAGTGGAGTTGGAAAACTGCGATTCCAAACCATTGGTACACATGGACTCCAGGATCCTGAGGAGATAAATGGCGTATGAACCAATTGTCGGTCACTGGCTACCATGGGACTACATCTCCTTACGTTGCTCCACTACATTGTGGATTAGATCTTCAGGTCGAATGCTGTGAGTTTAGTCCCCTAAGAAAAGGACCCTCTTCGGTTTGGGTTTGCGAACTGTATCACAGCCCACACATAGATCAAGTGACTTGTGTGGCGCATATGTACTTGGTGCCCCTTTGTATCAAATAAATAAATAATTACACATCTATGTTCATTTTTTAGACCTTATTATTATCTCTGTATTAAAACAAAACTTTACGTCACTCTGGTCAAGTGTAATAACATGAAAGTGAATTACCGTTTTTAAAGCATCATAGTCGATTTCTGAGTATTGTACACCATTTTAACTTTTTTGAATCCAACTTAACAACCTATACACACTCAGTGAATAAACATTATCTTAAATAAATTGGCTTTTTGTTTTTTCAAGAAGAAAACCTATACCTAATTCGACTTATTTTAATGTGGACTGTAAGGGAATCGAATTTCCTCATTCTGCAACATTCTTATATAAAGCACGGAGCTTTTTGTGGTGTCCGGAACTTTTTATTGGCTCTTGAAAATTCGAGTGAGGCAGTAGAATTTTCGTGGCGAGCCTATCCAATATCCTCACCAGGTCTCCAAGGTGAATAGCCTCTGGCAATTGAACAATATAAGTAAGGGAATTCGGCAAACTGAATACGTCACTTCAGAAGAAAGATTGACTCTGAAAACCGATTTAGACAGGCCGAAATCAGATACATGTCGGTCCAGTTGACAGCTGGTGTCTTTGCTGATTTATGTGCTCTGGTACCCATTGTTATACGTTTACTGAATTCTGCATCCATGTCAGTCGTGGGCGGTTTCAGGTAAAGGATATCTACATAAAAAGAAGTAAAAGTTACGGGCTGACACCTTTCATTAGTGAAATACCCGTGAAAAATATACTAACTAAGCGATTTTTGAAATAGAACACTTTAAACAGTATAATATCCCATATGTTCTCTACACTTGATATTACGATCTATATCAGGCTGATCATGCCTGTAAACTGGCGTGAATTCTATAATTCTTATTTTCAGAATATATTATCATTATTTATTAAGTAATATATTTTAATCTACAGGTACTTTCATAATCACAGACGATGGTAGGTTTTTTTGTTGTTGATAAATTATACTTTGTATCTTCTTTACATGTTTTTTATGCATAAATCAGAACTCATATGGAGCAATTGTAATCAAAAATTTTCAATAACTATGATATTTTGGGCTATCATCCGGGTTTCATTCCGATACATATGTTTTCCATAAGCTTGCCCAGATTGGTACAGATAAATAGGGGGCTACATTAACTACAGAAATCAATTATCAAACAAACCTTAAATAACTGGGCCAATCCCTAACCAAAAAACCTATCTTTCAATAATGCTCAGTGACCATTTAGTCTTGACCTAGCACATACCTATAGGCATATGGTATGATCGGATTTGTTAAGCTTATCGAAATAACCCATTTGCCCTTGGCGTTCGTGCCGTCCTACTGTGGAACTTCTTATCAGTGCCCATTCAAGGGCACATACGCAGGAGTTAAACTCAGGATATTAGGCTTTGTACATAAGTGCTTAGCCTTACTTACTTACTTACTTACGCCTGTTACTCCTCGTGAAGGAGCATAGACCGCTCACCAGCATTCTCCATCCAACCCTGTCCTGGGCAATCCTTTCAAGCTCTTTCCAGTTCTTATTCATCTTTTTCATATCTGATTCTATTTCCCGACGTAATGTGTTCTTTGGCCTTCCTCTTTTCCGCTTCCCTTCAGGATTCCAAGTTAGCGCTTGTCTCGTAATGCAGTTTGATGATTTCCTCAATGTATGTCCTATCCATTTCCATCGTCTTTTCCTAATTTCCTCTTCAGCTGGAAGCTGGTTTGTTCTCTCCCACAAAAGGCTGTTGCTGATGGTATCCGGCCAATGGATGTTGAGTATCATGCGTAGACAGCTATTAATAAATACCTGTACCTTCTTGATGGTGGTTGTTGTAGTTCTCCAAGATTCAGCTCCGTACAGTAGAACTGCCTTGACGTTCGTATTGAAGATTCTGACTTTGATATTGGTTGAAAGTTGTTTTGAGTTCCATATGTTCTTTAATTGAGGGAATGCTATCCTTGCTTTGCCAATCCTCGCCTTGACGTCTGCATCTGAACCTCCTTGTTTATCGACGATGCTTCCCAGGTATGTGAAGGATTCCACGTCTTCCAGAGTTTCGCCATCAAGAGTGATTGGATTGCTGTTCTCCGTGTTGTGTTTGAGAACCTTGGTTTTCCCTTTGTGTATGTTGAGGCCTACTGATGCAGAGACTGCTGCTATGCTGGCTGTCTTTATCTGCATTTGTTCGTGTGTATGTGATAGGAGGGCTAGGTCATCTGCGAAGTCCAAGTCGTCTAATTGGTTCTGAGCTGTCCATCGTATGCCGTAGTTTCTCTCAGATGTCGAGGTCTTCATAATCCAGTCGACCACCAGAAGAAACAGGAAGGGAGAGAGTAGACAGCCTTGTCTTACTCCGGTCCTTACTTGGAATGCGTCTGTCAGCTGTCCTCCATGCACTACTTTGCACTGTAGTCCGTCGTATGAGTTCCGGATAATGTTGACAATCTTCTCAGGAACTCCGTAGTGTCGAAGAAGTTTCCATAACGTCCTCCTATCTATACTGTCAAATGCCTTCTCATAATCAATGAAGTTGATGTAGAGTGACGAGTTCCATTCAATTGATTGTTCGACGATGATCCGTAGTGTCGCAATCTGGTCTGTGCACGACCGGTCCTTACACAATCCAGCTTGTTGATCTCGAAGTTGAGCGTCAACTGCGTCTTTCATCCTGTTCAGTAACACTCTGTTGAAGACTTTACCCGGTATTGACAGTAGTGTAATGCCTCTGTAGTTTTCACACTTGCTCAGGTCTCCTTTCTTTGGAATCTTGATGAGGTGTCCTTCTTTCCAATCCATCGGCACTTGTTCCTCCTCACAAATCTTCTTGAATAGAAGATGAAGCATGCTTGTAGTTACTTCGATGTCTGACTTCAACGCTTCAGCTGGTATATTGTCAGGTCCTGCTGCTTTCCCGCTCTTGCTTTGTCTGACGGCCATTTTGATTTCTTCTGTCGTTGGTGGATTGACATCTATAGGGAGATCTGTGTGTGCTGCTTCGATGTCCGGTGGATTCATTGGTGCCGGCCTGTTCAGGAGTTCCTCGAAGTACTCTGCCCATCTGTTGCGCTGTTGTTGAATCTCAGTGATTGGTCTTCCTTCTTTGTCTTTGACTGGTCTCTCTGGTTTACCGTATTTCCCTGCAAGCTTCTTCGTCGTATCGTAAAGCTGTCTCATATTTCCTTCTCTTGCAGCTTTTTCCGCCATCGTTGCTAGTTCTTCCACGTATTTTTGCTTATCAGCTCTAATGCTCTTCTTCACTTTCTTGTTTGCTTCTATGTACTCTGCTTGTGCTTGGACTTTCTCTGCTCTTGTTCGACTGTTGTTAATTGCTGTCTTCTTGTTCTTTCTTTCTTTGATCCTGTCCAGTGTTTCTGTAGAGATCCATTCCTTGTGATGATGTTTCTTGGGGCCCAGAACCTCTTGACACGTTGAAGTTAATGTTTCTTTGATACCTTTCCAGCTATCCTCCATAGTAGTTTCTTCTTCCTTCAGTAGATCCTGTAAGGCTTGGAACCTGTTGTTGAGAGCTACCTTGAATTCATTGAGTTTGTCAGTATTTCGAAGGAAGGCTGTATTGAACATTTGTGGTGCTGTTTGTCCAGTTGTCCAGTTCTTCTTTAGCTTCAGTTTCAATTTGGCCACAACTAGGTGATGATCTGAAGCTATGTCCGCTCCTCTCCTGGTTATCACATCTTCCATTGTCCTTCGGAACTTTTTATTGATGCAAATGTGATCTATCTGGTTCTCTGTGGTGTGGTCCGGTGAGATCCACGTAGCTTTGTGTATACGTTTGTGTGGAAATGTTGTACCGCCTATGACCAATTTATTGAATGCACACAGATTTGCAAATCTTTCCCCGTTTTCGTTTCTCTCTCCCAGTCCATGCAGTCCCATGATGTCTTCATATCCGGTGTTGTCCATTCCGACTTTGGCGTTTAGATCTCCCATCAGAATGGTGAGGTCCTTTCTTGGGCACTTCTCTATGATTGATTGCAGCCTCTCATAGAATTGATCCTTAACGTCATCGTTGCTATCATTGGTAGGTGCATAACATTGGATAATGTTCATTGTGATACCCTCCTTCTTTGTTTTGAATGATGCTTTGATGATTCTGGATCCGTGAGATTCCCATCCTACAAGTGCATTTCGTGCTACTTTGGATAGCATTAGAGCAACTCCCTGAGTGTGTGGAGCATTTTCCTCTTCGTGACCGGAGTATAGCAGCATCTCTCCCGTATTTAGCCTTTGTTGTCCAGCTTGGGTCCAATGGGTTTCACTGATTCCCAGTACTGCCAAGTTGTATCTTCTCATTTCCGTTGCTATTTGACTGGTCTTCCCGGTCTCCCACATTGTCCGGACGTTCCATGTACCTATAAACATTGTTGCTCTGGTTGTTAGAAGGGGCATCGGCCTCGTGGCTTCCGAAGGAACTCGGCTTTCACCATGAAGCGTCATATTACCTCTAACTCCCAGGGCAGAGTTTAAATGGTTTGAGTTATTTTTTCTGGTTAGCGTTTTTTTAGCGAGTTAGGTTTCTACGGGATGGGGACGCTAACCCCATGCCCAACCCTCCTCCTTTACCCGGGCTTGGGACCGGCAGTAACTCTGGAAGAGTTACAGGCGGAGTTAAGGGCTTAGCCTACAGACAACTAAATGGCATCTAGTAGTGTTTGTGTCAAACTCCAATCAATTCAGGATATTGAACGACCATCTACCACTATCTTCGGTAGGCAACTGCCTCACACTCGATACGATTGAACTCCACCGGTCACGGCATCTCACTTATTTGTATCAGTTATTTAAATCTCATCGGAATAAAACTAATAATAATACTATTAAAGCGAGTGCAATTACTTTTATGTATTCTAAATCCCAGGTATTTATTGTAACAACCTATTTAAAAAAGGTAATCATTTTTGAAAACTTTACCTGATAATAAGTCATTTGAATGATTTTTATTGTAATTTGTTATTTCACGTTATCCTACTTCGAATTATAAGCATATCTTTGGTTAGTCATTGAAATGAATTCGAGTATACATACTTACAAGGAGGCCCCAAATAGATATAACCAACATAAATCATTCGATTTATATGAGGGATGGAATACTGCACGGGCGCCGAACCCAAAACATATGGTTTTCTTAGGGGATCACACTCGGTGCATTCGACCTAAAGATATAATCCACAATGTAGTGGAGCAACGTAAGGAGATGTAGTCCCATGGTAGCCAGTGACCGACAATTGGTTCATACGCCATTTATCTCCTCAGGATCCTGGAGCCAATGTGTACCAATGGTTTGGAATTGAGGTTTTCCAACTCCACTAGGTGGACTCTCCGTGTTCACCAACCCATTTAAAGAGTTGGATGTTCTCTTTTCATCATCTCGTTTTTGTAAACGACACCTCCGCCACCAGAATGTAGTGAGTAGGACTTCGCTGACAGTGGCTGTATGCGTATGTCCATGTGAGAGGATTTGGAGAGGGAGAGCTGACTCTCCCCACCCTTGGCCGTACTAGGGCATTTGTGGGGGGGGGCAATTAAATATGTGCTAGTTTAAAAATGATTTAGAATGACACTTTAATTTTCCTCATGAACTGATATCAACTGTAGAAGCACTGAAAACCATGGAGTGATAGAAAGGTATTATCTTTATCTACGATCTTCAAGTTGAAATACAATTTTCTATGTTCTAAACCTTAGTTAATTTATGATTTGATTACTTGACTATGAGCCAAACATCATATGTATGAACTAAGGATCCTGCCCAAATAAAAAAAAACGAATTAAATGGAACCAGATTAGAACTTATAACCCAATGGTAATGGTTTCTGTCCTTCAATCATTCATTTACCAATCGATCCTTTATGTCTGTAACGTATTTAGCAAGCTTCGGTTCGTTTACCCATCTATGGATGACACATTTTGGTATGGGGCTGGAAATCATTTTGTGAAAGATCAGTCTTGTGAGTAGTAGATTGAAAATAGAATATCCTAAATAAATATTATTTAATTTTAATAGTTGAGATTATGAGTCAAATGAAGCTAGACTACAACTGAAAACCTGGAAGCACTGGACGTATGTTTCGTTCTACTGTGGGACACCACAACAGTGCACAATCACGATCCCGCCTCGTGAGATTCGAACTCAGGACCTATCAGTCTCGTATGCAAGCGCTTAATATTTTTTAGTATAACCATTTTACATTGAAAAATTCACTCACAACATTTGTTGATTTCCTTTCTCTATCTTTTATTTCTTTAAATTCTGCTCTCAGCTACAAATTTAAAATGTCAACGAATATTCCACATGATAGTTGGATTGATCAGTTTAATGGCAATCAATTGACGAAAACAAAACACTTATTCTCTGTAATCAATGTATAACTAGTTTTATGTGTATGTTTAAATTGTATTCTTAGCATATTTTTACCATGTTAGAAATAATGCATTCTTGTGTTCATTTTCCGATAGCATAGTTAGTTGTCAGTGATCAGTAGAAATCTTTGATCTGATCAATAAGTCATGTCTGAAACAGTTCAAGTTACCGTGCTTTACATTGGTATAGTCAGTGAGAGAATTATCACGATGTGAAGTAGTTATAGAAATAAAAGTTATTCACTTGTTGTGCAACTTGAAGATCCAATTGATGTCCTGTATAAGTACTGTTGAAAATTCTTATTCTGAGGCTGAAAAGCTATTCAATCCTCTTTGGTTCTTAATACTATCGCAGCTAACATCAATCCGTCATAAATATCCCTTAGAAATATGATAATTATTAAGTCGGAGTATGTAAATCAAATGAAAGGTAGCTAACTGTAGATAGATTACAACATCTTTTATGTGTAGAAAGGATCTAAATTCTCCTGTTGTTAACATTAATCTCTGAATCTTAATCAGTTTTAGCATATGTACATTTTGAGAGAATTACCATAAGTTTTAGGTTAAGAATCTCATGCTCATTAGACAAATCAGTGATAACCCAGTCTGAGTAACTCAATAGATAATATATTAATGTTTAAAGAAAAAGGTATAGAGTTTAAGTTTTAATATGTACATAAACATTGAAGTGAAGGGGGATCCAAACGACAGGGTTCAATGAAGACGAAACGAACTACCCAGATTCCATCAATCACCATTCTATCTTGAGAATCATCTTGAATTTCGATTTGGAAATGAACATTTACAAAATAACACCATCGTTAATTAAATCCACTTGGTATTGCTTGTTTGAATCTTCCCATTGATGTTTAGCATTGCAATTGATCGGTCTCTTATTGACATACGTGCATACTGTGCGTATCGTTTTGACATTGCCTTAATTTACAAGCATTATAAGTAAAGATGGATAGTGCCTAGCAGTGGAATCCAGGACACACGTTTTGTCCTTTTTAGGACTCGTCAGCTAGATGTATCTGCATCTCAAAGAGTTGATGTTCACTCTAGGACTCAAACTCAATACCGTTCACCTTAAACGCCACCTCATTATCCACTTAGCTACCAAATGAATTTAAACTTTACCTCATTACATAAACACATGGATATCAGGATTCAGTCGATAAGTAGATAACACGATGGCGTTCGAGTCCCAGAGTGAACATCAACTCTTTGAGATGTAGATACATCTAGCTAACGAGTCCCAAAGAGAACAAAACGTGTGTCCTAGATTCCAGTGCTAGGAACTATCCATCTTTACTATCATTAATTACAAGTATTGTTTTCTATTGATTACTTAAATTTATAGATCTCATTGAACGATGAACAGTAAACTGTTAATTTCAAAAAAATGAACAAAATCAATCCAATATATTGATTTTCTTATTCTATCATTAAATAGAATAGTAAATTTTCATTATTCAATGAATAATAGTAATTTAATAGTTACCTTTCTCTTTTTTGTTTTTTTTTGTAATATCAACATTTTATTGATTTAAATCAGAGTACTTAGTTACTAAATTTGAATGATGTATATTTTAAAAAAAAAGTTTTTTTTTTCTTCAAAATTATAATAAATATCATACAATAGAAATTAATTAATATTTCTTTTCAGAAGGGGGTTTTTGTGGAGATTGTAGTCGTTTCAATAGTTGTGGATATGATTCAATTGAAGCTAGACAACCATGAAAAAATTTGGAAGTACTGGATGGTGGTTTTGTCTTATTGTGGGACTCCTCAGCAGTATGCATCTACGATCCTACCTCGCGGGATTAAAACTCAAGACCTATCAATCCTACTGATGACAATGGTGGATGTGCCGATCGAATTCGTGGATTAGTTGAAGCTAAGCATCAACACCGTCCGATGTTGGCTGGCTGAGTTTTTTAGTGGTTAAGCGCTCGTGCGTGAGAATAATAGGTCCTAGATTTGAATCTCGTGAAGCGGGGTCGCGGATACGTACTGCTGTGGGGTCCTACAATAGGATGAAACGGCCGTCAAGTGCTTCTAGATTTTCCATGGTTGTCTAATTTCAATTGACTCATGATCTCAACTATTGAAATTAATACTTATTTTGTCTATTCTGCTAATAATAAAATGAATGTACTGAATCTAATCCAAGAAGAAATTATGAATTCGTGGAATAAAATATTCAACATAATTTTGAAATTAAGGGTTTAGGAAAAACTGAGTAATCAGTGGTTTTTAGGCTATTTGGTGTTGATTTTGAACTGTCATTCAAAATCTACAAATATTGATTACAATAATTGAAAGGATCTTGATTGTGTAGTTTACGTCTACTTACTTAGATCAGAATAACAGTGATTGACTTTGTGATACTAAATTTGAAATTCATTTCGATAGTGGTTTCATCCAATACTACGATATACAGATTAGAAAACAACCGCGAGTTACAAAGTGTTAAACAGTCCGTCAGTTACAAGATAGAAACAGGCACATGTATGTATCGGTCCAAGTTGTCACACCTTATTAGCACAACAAGATCAACACCAAATTCATAGAAGTAGTTACTTCAATGGTAGTAATTTATAAATAAAAAGATTGTGTATAACGATACAGTACGGGAAGAAAGAGTTAGTTCGTAAAAGTAAGGGTATAAAGTAATTTTATTCTCATAGTTTAAGGGAAAATAGAGAGTGTATACACCTACACCGTTGTGATCGATTCTGAGCCATGTCACTCACAGTCTCCAACCATTGTCTATGGTAGTCACTCGGACCCCAAACAAGTAGTCTGCATCTACCAACATGGCTCAGACTAGAAGTTAGTGACTCTGTGGACTGATGCCACGTTTTGGTTTGACCATCCCTAACTTTCTTCCAACCATCTCCAACACGAGTCAGCATTGTGCGTCGTGGTAATCGATGTTCAGGTATACGTAACCCGTTACTCAATCATCGTCGTTGATGAAGATTTACAATCTCATCGACTGATTTACCATCATTCCCTAATACCGTGCGTCTAACCTCACTATGACTCACCTGGTGATCCCAGCATATGCGAGCAATATTTCTAAGACATCTGTAATCGAATACTAGTAACTTGCGAGTATCTTTACTCTTAATGGCCACATTTCGCAGTTGCAAATTAGAAGAGAATGAACTGCCCTACAGTATACTCGTCCCATAATTGATAGACGGATATCTCACCTTCTCCATAGGTGACGTGCGTTGACAAAAGCCAAACGAGCTTTTTGAATCCGTGCAGAGATCTCGCCAGGCACTAACCCATTGGGGTTGATCAGACTTCCAAGATTGGTGTTGTCAACGCGTTCAACTACTTGACCCAGGCCAGTCCTGGAGAAACAACTTGCATTTAGAGGGGGGGGATACGCATCCTAAACATCCTAGCATTTTTGTTTAGAGCTACCAAATGATTCTGTATCTTATCAGCATCGTCACCAAGCAGGACTGTCATCTGCGCATTCTAAGTCAATAAGTGAACCTCCTGGAAGAATATCAATTCCTGAGAATTCAGTCGACGAAGATGTTATTTCCGGCAGTCGGTCTATGATAAAATTAAACAGAAATGAAAATAATGGAAAGCCTTGCCGGAGACCACTTGAGATTGCAAAAGCAGATGTCAGTTCGCCATAAGTTCTGAATCGACTAGTAGTGTTCGAATAAATAACCATCACAAGGTTTATGCACTTCTGAAGTACTCTTTTCAATGACAGACACTGCCACAGAACCCCTCGGTCTATAGAGTCGACGCTGCTTTTATGTTAAGAAAAACCACTATTGTCAGACGCCGATAAGTATGATTGTATTCTAGAACCTGACGAATGGTGAATATGTGATCGATGCAGCCACGACCAAGTCTGAAGCCAGCCTGATTTTCACTAGTTTGCAGTTCATGAGTCTGTTATATCTTGTGATCCGCCTATTAGAGAGCAGCCTATTATCGATCGAAACAGTGACGCGTAAAATACGTAAGAGCAGCCTAGAGTCCTGATTGGCCCTGCTTTCTGTCTAGCCCAGCCAGTTGAGTCCAGAACACAAATCTCAGCCTCGGAGGTATAAATCATTATATTTCAAACACACTCGGTTTATATATCAACCAGACAGACCACAACGTACCAATAAAATATGAAACAACATTTGTACAAGAATTAGCCAGATGTGGCTATGAATGAAGGAGATAGAAATCAATAGATAGAGCATAACTCAAGAATAGTAAATCGTACAATAATAGTTCATAGGTCAAAATAAAACTCATAATAAGAGGGACATGGATATGAACAGATTAGTTACATAACAATTATACGATAAAAATATACTCGTAATATCGGTCCATAAATGGATCCCAAAAATTACCATTCATTATTCTTATTGGGATATAACAGAGTCTTAGTTAGGCGCCCGACAATTACTTAGGCTAGTATTTTAGATATTATATTAATCAAATTAATCCCTCTATGGTTATCACAGGATGATTTTGACCTCTTCTTATATATTGAGACAATAAGTGATTGTGACCAGTCAGATGGGATTACGTCCAACCCCCAGATTTTAGCTAAAATATTAGTCAACCTAATCGCTAAAACTAGACCACCATCCTTAAAGACCTCTGGGGCCAATCCGTCTGGACCAGCTGCCCTTCCTCGTTTCAGATTAGCTATAGCCTTTTGAACTTCAGCTAGAGTTGGGGGACCTACTTCAATGTTCCATTCATACTGTCTGGGAATAGAGGGTAGTTGTAGAGTAGCTGAAGGCCAACTGAACTGCTCCTTAAAATGTTCCGCCCATCGTTCTAAACGTCTGGACTGGGAGCAGATGAGAGTGTCGTCTTTTTCCGAAATAGTCTGACTTACACTTGATTTATTAATTCCAGTTTCTTTTATTAGTCTGTAGAGTTGTCTTGTGTTCCCTATAGCCACCGCCTTTTCCATCTCTTTTGCTTTCGTTGCCCACCACTGCTCACGGTCGTTCCTTAGACTTTTGCTTAACCTAGATATGATTTGTTTACGCTCTTCATCGTGTTCAGAACCTGATGGAATGAGTTTACGAGAATCTATCAGTGCAATAGACCTTGAAGAAATCCATTGGTTCTTTGTAACCCTGTGGTTTAAATCACTAGTAGATGTCACTGCTGTTTCCACAGTTGCTTGTATATCTTTCCAAGCAACATCTGGGTCAGCCTCGTTTCCAGAACTAACTGTGACCTCAGTCATTCCCGTTGTTCCTCATCACTGAGTTCAACTCTAATGAGTCCTCTTAATGTGATTTTTTCTGCACCCAGTGAGGCGCAAGCAAATTCATGCTCGTATTATAGCATGAACGAAATCTAAACATTCATTCCAGAACGAGCGGCAGCCTTCTATCAAGACTCTCCAACGATGAATGATGGAAATATGGTCTATTTGGGTCCATCGTTGGTTTGGTGAAGGGGGTCGCCATGTCAGACGATGTTTCTCCTTATGCTCAAAATTAGTGCTTGTTAAAAATAAACGATTGTCTGAGCACAGTTGAAGCAGACGATCACCATTATTTGTTCTCTGAGCCAAAATACTAAAATACTCACTTAAATGTCTTTTTGTTTGGTTTAAGCTACCTACTTTGGCATTAAAGTCACTTGCTGCGAGTACTTTGTCTGAGCGTTTAGCCTTCTGAAGAAGTTCAGAAAGCTTTCTGTAAAAGTCATTTTTCACTTCATCCGGGTTGCAGTCAGTAGGAGCGTAGGCGGAAACGACGTGTGTCCCTATCATTCCGAGTTCTTACCGAGCCGTTAAGCTGAAGAGCACATAAACGACTGTTAACGGGGATCCACTCTAAAAGTTCTCGTTCTACCCTCGTACTTAGTGCTATGCCTACATCTGCCAGTCCACGAGAACATGCCATCGGGTTGTCAGATAAATGGAGTTTATATCTCTTCGGCTCCCCGTTTCGGCGTGGTAAGGCTAATTGAATGACCACACTAAGATACTGTATGCGTGTTTTGGAGAGTGTTAACCTTATATCTCTACAGGTCGACAATCTGTCCAAGGTGTATCCACACACATATTAACTGGAAAGGTAGAACATTAAAGATTTAATTTCCTAGTGGGACATATGTTTAAAGGAGCTTGACTCATTCAACGAGAACACTGGATACTAAATCAGTCTAACGTGAAGATAACCAAGAGTGAACTTGAACCAACTTACTTTATTCCTAAAAACGAAGCCCATAAAATCATCTGAAATTATTTTAAGTGCATGAATCTTAATTTAGGTTTTCCCATTCACTGTGTTACTAGCTATACTTTCAACTGATTGGTAAATTAATAATAACAAAGTTAAAATAACCTATTGCATCATTGGATAAGAATATAAACAAGTGATCTTATTCCAGTATCCAATAAAGATCATAAGCATTTCAAAACAACTCTTGTAGACTGTTGTAATCAATATGTAAACAAAATACCCACAATTAGTCGATTACTCACAAAAGAGCATAAATCTCAATTATCTGATCTTCGGAGAAATCAGGACTTAATGTTATGTCTCCCAGACAAGGGTGCAAGAATTGTCCTAATGGATCGGCTTGACTATGTCACCAAACTATCTTCGATATTATCTGATCCTGTCAAATTTTTCCAAGAAACCTTTCAAAAAAGACGCAACTGAATAAACGGAACAGATGCTAGTTAAAATCCTAAGGAAGATGAAAGATGAGTTTGTTATCGATTGTGACCTTTATGAACATCTTAAACCATCGGATACCGTTAAGCCAAGACTATATGGACTCCCAAAACTTCATAAGAATAATGTCCCTCTACGTCCTATACTTGATATGATTGCTAAATGGTTAGCTGATATTTTGCAACCCGTTAAAAATCATATCAATAAATATAACTACCTCGATTCCTTTGTCGACTCATTTAGAAATATTAATGAAAATAGTAGGAAGATGATCTCATCAGATGTCACTTCTGTTTTTACAAATGTTCCTCTCACAGAAACTATATGTTTTTTATGTGACTATATTGACTACATTAACCTTGATATTTGTGTGGCAAAACGTCATCTAAAAGAATTACTTATATAATGTACACTCAACGTGTAATCTAGATTTAATGATGATTTCTATAGACAAACAGATGGAGTTGCAATAGGTTCTCCATTGGGTCCACTCTAGGCTAATTGTTTCATGGACAATCTAGAAAATTCGATACTTCGACCAATAATTGAGAGATTTCATTTATATAAGAGATATATGGAACTCAATGAAATTATTGAATAGTTTCAATAATTGTCACTCCTCAATTCAATTCACTTTGGAAGCAGAGGTAAACAATGAATTTCATTTTCTTGATGTCCGATTGAAAAGAAGGCCGGATGGTTTTTTACAGAGATCTATATATAGAAAACCTACTTAGAATCGGATGTACACGAATTTCTATAGCTGGATCCCACTGATTAGAAAGAGGAATTTAATTCACTCTTCATCCTCAAGGATCAAACGAATGTTTCACTGACACAATAGATGAGGAACTATTTCAAGTTCAACAGACTCTCATTAGAAATGGTTAACCACCTAGATTCGTCGATAGCTACTTGACACCTAGACATCACACTGAAAAAGCACCGACGGTACAAAAAGACTTTTTATGAATATGGAATTTAAAGGAGATAGAACTGCTGAAATCTTAAATAAACGGATTTCAAAATAATTGGATAAAACGTTCTACACCGCTAAGCTCAGAATTGTTTTCTCAGGCTGGCCAACCATTCATGGATGTGTTAAGGATAACCCTTTACTTTGGGCCACATCAATGTGTATCTATAAATTTGCTTGCTCATATGGGATAGGTTACATTGGTCACACAAAGCGATCACTTTCTAAACGCATCTCAGAACACTATGCGGTATGGCTTTTAAAAGGAGAATGTAAAACAATTACTATTTCAATACAGGAGCATTTAATCAACTGTGGATACATCACTCCATAGTAGTCTTCTATCAAAATAATCTACACAGTCAAAGAAATTGGATCGAAGGAATGTTGAATCAATATTTTATGCACTGCTAAGGCATTGGCAATCCGCGAACTCAAGCCTGCGTGCAGAAACGATGGGTCCAATCTCTCATTCTTCCTTGGCTCTGATTCCTATTAGTGGTATGTTTCGGTGTTTTTCCCTTTTCCTCTCCGTTTTTATTTGATTACTATTGGGTTTTTTTTAATTAATGTTATGTAATTGTAGACTTTAATCAGTTGTTATTATTACTACCCTCAAACAAGTTTTCTTCATTATTATTCAATTTCTATTATTCTGACCTTTATGTTTGTCGTTTTTTCTCCATATCTGTCAATTGGACAATTATCTGACCCGTAAATTACTTTCATCCTTCTATAACCCCCAGATTGTTACTCAGTCTCGAATCCATTTCATGATGTAATCTTTCTTATTCTTCTATAGACATATATTTTCCATAAAACTAAAAGTACGAATGCACAGCTTAAGTAAATGATTTTGTCGAAAAGAAAAAAATTTCCTTCGCTGAATTCTCTTTATTCTTATTCAGTAGCGAAGTTACCCGACAAATTCAACTGAAATAAGGTTAAACATCTTACTGATCATTTATATTTTTGAGTGTTATTTCTAACATATCCGTTAGCTATTTTATTTATATCAGAAGGGTTTTTGTGGATATTATAGTTGAGATCATGAGTTAATTGGAGCTAGACCACCGCGGAGAAACTGGAAGTAGTCGACGGTCGTTTCGTCCTCTTGTGGGACTCCTCAGCAGTGCTCATCCACGATCCCGCCCTCCCGCGAGATTCAAACCCAGGACCTATCAGTCTCGCGCGCGAGCGCTTAACCACTAGACATGTTTTTTTTCATATTCCGTTAATTCAAACAATTTATTATTGTTGATGTACAAGTTTGCTAAAATTCAGTTATGCTTATAATATTGAAGTTTCCTATTGTGAATTAGGATAAAGATATCTTCATTATGATGTGATATCACAAATCATAAAAGTCTCAACTTCAACTATTTCTCCAAAGTGTAATACCTGACGGATTACCCATTTCATTAACGTGAAATTAAAACCGTTTTTGATTTATAAAACATTTTAAAACCTGAGTAAAATATAGAACTCCAACATATGATAATTTATTTATCGTAATAAGCGCATGACTGCTCTGGGATTGTCTGTTGACCATGAGTATGCGGATGATACATTTATGTATAACGATACTCATGTCATGCAATCCACAATCAAACAATTAGGAATCAAGGTCCGACACTGGGACTGGTTGAAAAAAGCGAAGAGGTGGTTGGTGTATGACATGTTGTGGAATGAAAGAAAGCTGGACAGGATTGGTATCTGTTGGTCGGAGTCGTAGAGAAGTTCCAACTTAATGACTTCTAACGTAATTAGATATGACTGAGAATAGAAGCCAATGGTGGACCTACCGTAACTTTCTTTTACATGCTTCACATAAGTGAGAGAAACTTCTTTAACTGAAAGAATCCTTTGTGGTTGTAGTTTTCTTAACTAAAGTGCTACTCCCATTATTATTAATACTCTATTTCCTAAAAACCTCATCTTTATTGTGTATAGCAAACATATGTTGGTGACCTCTTACACCTATCTTTACGTATTTAAATAAATAAATAATAGGAATTAGATATCTGTTGTATTGTGAAATAACTGGCATCTCTACTTTCTATACTATTGTTAGATCCCGATAAGCATAATGAATGGTAACTTTGGGATTCATTTAAGGGCCAATACTAAACGCATATTTTTATTGTATAATTATTAAATGACTAAACTATTCATATTCCCCTTATTATAAGCTTTATTTTGACCTATGAACCATTATTATACGTTTAACCATTCTTGAATTATTCCATGTTTATTAATCACTACCTCCCTCATTCACAGCCACATTTGGCCAAATTTTGTACAAATGTTATTTTCTATTTTATGGTACGTTGTGGTCTGTTTGATTGGTATATAAACCGAGTATATTTGAAATAAATGATTCATATTGCAGTGGCTTAGATTGGTGTTCTGGACTTTAACTGGCTGGGCTAGGCGGAAAGCAGGATCAGTCAGGACTCTAGGCTGCTCTCACACGTATTTTACGCGTCCTTGGTCCGATCGATAATTCACTGCTTCTGATTGGCGGTCACAAGTTATAACAATTATAACCTATAAATGTTACAAGTCTTAATCTAGAACTCTAGTACAACAGACAAACGATATAAACCTATTCACATCGAATCCCTTAAACGGAGTTAGTATTCAAACACAACCACCACTAACAGTCAGTGAGTAACGACGTGGAACTTCGTACGTACGTACATCAGTTCGAATCGCCATACGACATTAGCACAGAGATTCAGTTATCGATTCAAATCCCATAGTGGTAGACCTGACCGTTGTTGCTACCTTGACGTGGTGGTCGGGCTTGCCTATCGTGATGAAGCAACTGAGCTATACTGGCTGGAACAACCGTTCCTCAAGGTCCTACCATGCCAGACAGGTCGGTTGAAGAGCGGTAAGACTAAAAGCAACAAAACCAAGGTCCGAAGGCGAAGTCGTACTGCTGACTGTACAGAGGTGTGACAGCAGTAAGGTGTTTCCTTCAGACAACCAGCATGACAGCGATGCTGCCTTCCCACAAGGAGGGGGTGGGGTTAGAAAAGGTCGACCCTAAAAATGCACACCTCGCCTTATCCCACGGATATCCGTCTCCGGCGTTAAGGACTCAACAAGTACGGAGCTAACACGAAAATCACTCATAAAAAGGTCGTGTGTGACCGACCTCAAGCAGCTGTCCCCCTTGGGCACTGCGGTCACGCTCTCAGGTCACTATGACCAACTCTAATCCAATTTCCTTTTCAGGTACCTCCAGAAGAACCCTTCCACGGTGTGGGCAACCGGGAAGTGATAACCGCCCTCATACCTCTAACAGCACTCAAGACCACTGTATTCATAGTGGTAGAGGTAGTGAAAGTATAAGTAGTGATAGGGAACATTAGGGTTTGATTATGTTATTTAAGGAGTATAATCCAGTGGAATAGATTTGGAAAGAAAATAAAGGACATGAAGAATTCAGAAGATTAGAGTTTGAGAGAACACAGAGAGTGAATACCTCTGCGCCATTGCAAACGATTTTGAGCTATGTCATTCAAGATCTCTAACCATTGGTTGCTATCGTCAATATACCTACCAACATGGCTCAATCCACTTGTCAGTGACTTCATAGATTTGTGCTATGTTTTGGTCTGGCCGCCCCTAGCTTTCTTCCAACCTACTACCACTAACAAGCAAACCAATAATTAGTTATTACATATTTATGACAGATGAATACAGAAATTTTTTTAACACCATTTAGTAGCTTAACAAAAACAAAAAAAAGAGAAAAGAAAACAGTCTAACGAGTAACAATACGAAACAAAAAACGAAAAAGAAAGTATTCTTGAAATAGACGAGTAATAAGAAATAGACTACAGAATACTAAAAGATTCAATAAACAGATATATAAATGACAATAATAATTTCCACAAAAACTGGTTACTACCGTTTTTCTTTTTTTTTTCAGTTTTCCAGAATTTAAAACCAAAAAAAAAAAACGCAAAACACTAGTGGAAGTAGTACATGTATTACATTTTCTAATAATCTCATTCATCTTTGTCTTCATTAATAATGAATAGATTTTTTTTTATTTATTTTGGATAATATGCTCTATAGAATCTATCAGCCAGTATTGATATACGTTTTGTATATTGAATATTATTTTTTGTAGCCCATTCTTTAAGTTTAATTTCATAATCATTTTTTAAATCTTTTGCAATATTATTATATTCCTAAAAATTGAATAAATAATATTTAAAACTATACATGTATATGTATAAGATCAACTTAATGGAATGAGACTAGCACCAATGTCCAGGACATACATTTCATCTTAGTTTGAACTCGTCAAATAGATGTATCTATATTCAGTGTCCTGGATTCCACTGCTAGTTACATTTCATTTATTCTATAAAAATTTATAACGTAATGCCAATATCAGTCAGTCAGATGCAACGTAGGACCAGGCACGTATATGCATCGGTCCAAGTTGCCATACCGCATTAGCACAACAAGATGAACTCCGGATTCATAGAAGTAGTTAATTCAGTGGTGGTAATATATAGAAGAAAGAGTGTGTATAAAGAGATAGGACAGGAAGGTAGAATTAGTTCCTAGAAAGAAAGATTGGAAGTAATTTTAATCTCTTAGTTTAAAGGAAGACAGAGAGTGTATACACCGACGCCATTGTGATCGATTCTGAGCCATGTCACCAAGAGTCTCCAACCATTGGTTACGATAGTCACGCGGACCCCAACCAGGCAGTCTGAATCTCCCAACATGGCTCAGACCAGAAGTTAGTGACTTCAAGCACTGATGCCACGTTTTGGTTTGGCCGCCCCTAACTTTCTTCCAATCATCCCTAACACCGGTTAGCATTGCGCGTCGTGGTAATCGGTGTTCAGGCATACGCAACACGTGGCCCAACCATCTCAGTCGATGAAGATTCATAACCTCATCAACTGATTTACCATCATTCCCTAATACCCTGCGTCTAACCTCACTATTACTTACCCGGTGATCCCAGCAGATACCCGCAATATTTCTAAGGCACCTGTGGTCAAATACTAGTAACTTACGAATATCTTCCACTCTTAAAAGCCATGTTTCGCAGCCGTATAGAAGGACGGAACGAACTGCCGCGCAGTATACTCGTCCCTTAATTGATAGACGGATATCTCGCCTTCGCCATAGATGACGTAAGTTGGCAAAGGCCAAGCGAGCTTTTCGAATCCGTGCTGAGATTTCGTCAGACACCAACCCATTAGGGCTGATCAGACTTCCAAGATAAGTGAAGTTGTCAACGCGTTCGACTACTTCACCCCCTATCCTTAGTTCAGGTGTTGATGCAGACCAGTCCTGAAGCAACAACTTGCATTTAGAGGGAGAAAAGCGCATCCCAAACATTCTAGCATTGTTGCTCAGTGCTACCAAAAGACTCTGCATTTCATCAGCGTCTTCACCAAACAGGACTATGTCATCTGCGTATTCTAAGTCAAAAGAACATATGCCAGATAAGACTGATCGGAATCCAGTCGAACATATCAATAATGGGATGATTTGAACCATAACAAATTAAATTAAAGAACTATGTACAAATTGTCAATCTAATATCCTGACTTATAAAAAAACAACAAGCAGAATAGATACTATTCTTAGTTGAATGTTCATTTTTGCTAAACAAGCGGATTCACACCGTATATTGATGACAGTAGATTATCAACTTATCTTGATAGTTTCATCGACTTTGTCAGGTTAGCGATTGGCGAAACCCCGACAAGAAATCAGGAAGTTCGTTTGATAGTGCCAAATTAAATAAACTCTGATGTAGGCAAGACGTCTGTCTGACAACGAAGGCGCAACTATACTGAACAGTAGTTTTCTCTGTTTTACTTTAGAGTTATGAAACATGGCCTATTATAATGAGATATATTAGTGGATCACTGGTACTTGATTATAGGCATCTTTGAGTGATTACTCATGTATGCTCGTGGAGCCAAATAAACAATGCTGAGGTTAGGTGCGGGTTAGTAGTCAAAGATCCCAAGTTAATTGATAAGGTTATGAATCTGTATTAACTGAGGTGGTTGAACGTATTGCGTTTGCTCGACCATCCTCTACATAGACAGGTAATGTTAACTGGAGCAGGAACTGGGTTGGAAGTAAGCTAAGAGGGAAACCGCGATATGGCATCAATATATAAAGTCCCTGACCGTTGGACTGAACCACGCAGATAGGTGGAGACAACCTGGTTAAGTTCCGTGAGATAACCGTGATCAGTGGTTGATGTCGGATGCAATAATTCACAGTCAGCAACAGTAGCGCATGAAGTTACATTCATACTTTTTCGTCCTTTAGATCCTGAGTTTCAAAATTATTTGTACAATTTATTTTACTAATCCATTCTTTTTCTTAAGCCTTATTTTTAATACCTAATCTTTTTTACTATCACTAATATCAATACTAATACTGCCAAGCATTCCACTTTCGACTGGTGCTACATACTACTTATGTCTGTCAGCATAAGTAGCATACACCATACAATGACAAAATCAACTGAAAATATGGAAAGTGGGCAGAATTAGCGAGTACCACTCGATGTAGCCAATTCAAATGATAGTTCGCCTTAAATTCTGACTTTAAAGACAGTGGATTGTATAAAAAACAATCAGCTGGCTTATTTACTTCTTTGGGAATTGTTTCAATGACAGATACTGCTATAAGAAATCACTAAAGATTTCCCCGAAAAATTCAATATTTATTATGCTACTTTCAAATTCAATTCATAATGCTACACTCCCAAACAATAAGAAGTCTATCAGATGTTAATAAGAGTGCGCATAGACACTGATAAAAGTATTTAATGTTACAAACAAGACAAATGTTTAATCAGCTAACTGGTCACAATAACTGCAATAAACATTACTAGAACATTACCATTTTAACTACAGAATAACGATGAAAAATACTTGATGCATTAACTTAATTGTCTGCTAAGACAAGGAAGGCTTTAGAGTTATTTAGACTAAAGAAAGGAATTATGAGAATTCTCATAGTATTAACTTATGACTTTGTGTTACAAGGAATACTCACGAACACTTTTTTTCTACATAAAAATGAATAACTAGACTTGTTGCTTCCCTTCTGACTCCTAGATATTTTTAAGTCCAACAGCAAAAATGGTATTAACTATTATCAGCGTGGTGTATCAGTTGATCAACTTACCAGTTGATCAGATTCAGGCAGCGACATCCATTGTTTTACGGTATCTTTAAAGTCATTTCGCATTTGAGACACTGGTGTACCCTGAACAAAAATAAAAAAATAACCATGAATAGATCATCATCTACACACATTTGACAGTAGTTAAACACTAATAGTCACAGAGATGGGCTGAAGCGGAGAAGTTAACTAAAATTTTGAAAAAAAAACGATATCAGTAAGCTATTACCACCAGAATTCTAAAAACAAACATGGGTGGTCATTTAGATGGTGCCAATTTCCCCTAGTTTGTACAAATAATGATACTGTAGAAAAATTTATTCGTATTGTGATTAAGTTGAGAAGCATCTTGATCGTTAATAAATCATTTGAACAGTGACTCTTGATACCCATCAAGTAAACAAATGACTACAAAATAAGTCACAAAGCAATTTCCTGTGATAAATGTTGTATTTGGTCGTCATAAGGATCACAGGTATTATTATTATTGTTATTATTATTATTATTATTTTAACACATAGGTATAGGTACAAAGAGGCACCAAATACATATGCGCCACACAAATCTCAATTGATGTGTGTGAGGGCTGTGATACTACCCGGGTGCCCAAACCGAAGCAGGAGGTTTCCTTAGGGGGCCACACCCTGAGCCTTCGAACTGAACGTCTGACACACAAGGAAGTGGAGCATCGTGAGGAGATGCAGTCCCATGGTAGCCGGTGACCAACGATTGGTTCATACGCCATTTGTTCCTTCAGGATACTGGAGCCCATGTGCACCATTGGTTTGGGGTCCGATAAAAGCGCCAGACATTCGCTTTTCGTCCTCTCATTTTTGTAAACAACACCCCTGCCACGAGAAGGCAGTGAGTAGGACTTCCCTGGCAGAGGCTATATACGCGTGGCCATGTGAGAGCATTTCGAGATGGAGAGCGAACCCTCCCCACCCTCGGCCGTACCAGGGCATTTGGGGGCCCAGACTTACAAAGTAAAGTAAATTTAAAAGTCTTCCATACACTCCAAATTTACTTCGTCTTTAAATCAAAATCGGTGAAAATTATGTAAGCCTCAGTGGCCTGAAAATTATATACTCATGATAAGCCTGATACACTTTAACTTGAAGCAAGCAGCCAAGAAGTAGGAGGAATTAAACGAATAAATATTCACAGAATTTATCGTAAACAATAACTGAAAACATTCAAAATCTAGTATGTATATCTATTTATTTTTTATTTATTTTAACACATAGGTATAGGTACAAAGAGGCACCAAATACATATGCGCCACACAAATCTCAATTGATGTGTGTGAGGGCTGTGATACTACCCGGGTGCCCAAACCGAAGCAGGAGGTTTCCTTAGGGGGCCACACCCTGAGCCTTCGAACTGAACGTCTGACACACAAGGAAGTGGAGCATCGTGAGGAGATGCAGTCCCATGGTAGCCGGTGACCAACGATTGGTTCATACGCCATTTGTTCCTTCAGGATACTGGAGCACATGTGCACCATTGGTTTGGGGTCCGATAAAAGCGCCAGACATTCGCTTTTCGTCCTCTCATTTTTGTAAACAACACCCCTGCCACGAGAAGGCAGTGAGTAGGACTTCCCTGGCAGAGGCTATATACGCATGGCCATGTGAGAGCATTTCGAGAGGGAGAGCGGACTCTCCCCACTCTCGGCCGTACCAGGGTATTTGGGGGCTAGGATCACAGGTAGACACATTAGATGCACTGTTGTCTTTTGTTCTTATGCGAATCAACAAGTATTTAATATGGGAACAATTAGTTAGAATTTACAATGATATGGCAGTGTTCACTGACAGATTTACGTGCATGGCAAACAGTATTTATGAAATCCATGCATAAACTTTTAATTATGGCACCACAAATCAATTAGATAGAACTTAGCAAAAGAAATGTTAAATCACTAAGCGAGAAGTCTAGTTAATAAGTTCAACAACCTCGACCGATTAGCAACACTCAGGAAACCAGTAATGTTAGAAAACATTTTTTATTCGAAAGGTTCACAAGGATATACGCAAAACCGAAAATTCGGAGATGGGCATGAGTAGATTTGAGATTGATCATAGTTGAAAATGGACTCAAATAAAACATATCTCATTTTTGAAGTACCTACTACAATCATGCAAATATCCACATCCCTATAGATTCGAGTGTAAGGGACAGAGAGCTGAAGTTTCCCTAAGACCGTTTCCAGCACCAGATCACGTGTACATGTATGAAAATTGTTAAACAAATATTGTCATGATTTCATCTGAAATATTTAGCCTGCTATTAAAACAGAAGTAAAGACATGTTATAACAGAAATTTCCCAAAGATGAGGAGATCGTTTCAGCATCGTACCAATTTATCTAAGTCCAAAAACGTATGCTAGCAGAGTTCGAGATGATAAGTTAGGATACGTGTAAATTAGTTAAGGCTGTGGGCAGATAAGGAGAGACAATAATTACACCAGGCTGGAAAACGCGATGGTTACTAAAGCTATCACCGAATATGGGTTACTGATAGCTTCTTGGAACAGGTACATAAAACATGAGCGACCTAGTCAAAACCTCAATATGATAAAATCACACCCTGTCCCAAATATGCAGCGAAGTTAAGAAGGCTGTGGGAAACCAAAAAGGTGAAGCTAAATGAACAAAAGATACCTTTTGGCTCATTTTTGAGAGTGACGCTCCAGAAATTCTAGTCAGATTAACCGAGAACTGTCCCAATAGATTGATCTCGATTATCGATAGTTCCGGTTTCTGTAGAAACCGAAATTTTCTTGTAATAGTGACAGAATAACCAGTTCAGTCATCCGAACATCGTTTACCGAAGAGCCTATGAGTACCAAATCTATTATTTACTTATTTGAATACATAAATACTGATGCAAAGGGGCACCAAGTACATATGCGCCACACAAGTCACTTGATTTGTGTGTGGGCTGTGATACTCCCTGGGTGCCCATACCGAAACAAGTGGTTTTCTTAGGAAGCCACACCAGGAGCCTTCGACATAAAAATCTAATCCACAAGGTAGTGGAGCAACGTAAGGAGATGTAGTCCCACGGAAGTCGGCGACCAATAATTAGTTCATACGCCATTTGTTCCCTCAGGATACTTGAGCCCATGTGCATCATTGGTTTGGAATCAGGGTTTTCCAACTCCACTAGGTGAACTCTCCGTGTCCACCAACCCGGTTAAAGCGCCGGACATTCGCTTTTCATCTTCTCAATTTCGTTAACAAAGCCCCCGCCACTAGAAGGAAGTGAGTAAGACTTCCCTGGTAGAGGCTATATACGCGTGGCCATGTGAGAGCATTTCGAGATGGAGAGCGAACCCTCCCCACCCTCGGCCGTACCAGGGCATTTGGGGGCCCAGACTTACAAAGTAAAGTAAATTTAAAAGTCTTCCATACACTCCAAATTTACTTCGTCTTTAAATCAAAATCGGTGAAAATTATGTAAGCCTCAGTGGCCTGAAAATTATATACTCATGATAAGCCTGATACACTTTAACTTGAAGCAAGCAGCCAAGAAGTAGGAGGAATTAAACGAATAAATATTCACAGAATTTATCGTAAACAATAACTGAAAACATTCAAAATCTAGTATGTATATCTATTTATTTTTTATTTATTTTAACACATAGATATTGGTACAAGGAGGCACCAAATACATGTGCGCCACATGAATCTCATTTGATATGTGTGAGGGCTGTAATACTGTCTGGGTGCCCAAACCGAAGCAGGTGGTTTTCTTAGAGGGCCACACCTCGAGCCTTCGACCTGAAGATCTGATCCACAAGGCAGTGGAGCATCGTGAGGAGATGCAGTCCCATGGTAGCCGGTGACCAACGATTAGTCCATATGCCATTTGTTCCTTCAGGATACTGGAGCCCATGTGCACCATTGGTTTGGGATCCGGTTAAAGCGCCGGACATTCGCTTTTCGTCCTCTCATTTTTGTAAACAACACCCCTGCCACGAGAAGGCAGTGAGTAGGACTTCCCTGGCAGAGGCTATATACGCATGGCCATGTGAGAGCATTTCGAGAGGGAGAGCGGACTCTCCCCACTCTCGGCCGTACCAGGGTATTTGGGGGCCTGTATATCTACTTATGGAGTTCGTACGAGTTACCTAAAGCGTATGTTGCTGAAACTTATGATATAAGCACACCCTATCAATTTTTCTTAAATAAAACATTTTCACTTACAATACACGACATAGTACATTTCATTTCAACTGTCCAGAGTAAAATAAAAACAGGTTACTATCGACCAACAGTAAAAACGTATGTTTTCTTAATACTCATACAATCATAAAGGCCTTTATCACTCAATTCCAAATTCACATACATGCTTTTAGACTACAAGATTACAAGATGAATTTGGTGTTCATCATGTTGTGCTAATGAGGTGTGGCAACTTGAACCGATGCATATATGTGCCTGATCCTACGTTGCAGCCGACTGACTGACTGACAAGAACCTAAATGTTACAATATATACAGGATTTTTAATCTCGATTAAATGGCTTGATCTAAATAATAACGGTGACTTACCTTAGAGTCCTTTAGTTTTTCTCTCATGAAAACTTTGAGTCCAGAGTTTGGTGGACTTCTTGGCATTCCATTACGATAAGCAAACTAAAATTGCAACAGTGAAAAATTATTTCATAAAATATGGCAATAAAAATACTTCATAAAGAAATTGAAATGAAAAACAACAGTGTACATGTGTTGGATGAAATTGAGAAACAAAATACCATGTTCGTGATTGGATTTTAACTAGTGATGTAGTTATTTTCAATCTCCGGTTTTGTTATCTATGCATACAGAAATCAATCTACTGATCGAAACGATGCTACATAATACTTTTAAAGCTTCATACATCATACTACTAATAAAAAAAGTGATTACTCAATGAAGTTGAAAAACATTTTAGTGACACACAGAAATGTGAATGTAGAATAAACGAGAAATATGAGTTACTGATAAACAGAGTGATAACTGATTTCTGAAAAGTATTAATTATATCACAGTAATTTCAAAGGATGAATCTAATGTTCACGTTACAGAGACACTGAATATTTTAAATCCAAATTCCCATTGAGAAACAAATATCAATAATTCGAATAAAGACTTCATATATTGTGGACGTAGGTATTACTTACTATTGTTTCATACCAACCTTGTTTCACTGACCGATGATATTCGAAGCATTTGGTATAGCCATATTGCGATTGTGAGATAATATGACTAATTATGAGAAAACATACTTGCTATATGAGTTTTTCTAGGAAAGAAAACTCTTTTAAGTTTACAGTATATATCACAAGAACACTACAAACACTAAAACCTATTTCCCACAACAAGAACAGAGCCACGTCATCATTTACATCCTCAAAACCAACGATAAGAGGAATATTAATTTCTTTCAAAAAAAAACAAATCAACAAGTGATAAATCAAGAGAATCAACAGTTAAAAATATAACCTTGGTCGCCTTTTTGACATGAGATTGATGTTCTTTCGCTTCTAATTTTAACTTTTCTATCTCTTGAACTGGAAGTGTTTTGTACAACTGTGCTAACTTTTTGATCACATCAAAATTTGATAGCTCCGGTTTTGCGGACTTGACCTCATGAAATCTCGAGTGAATGAAATTTGTAAATGCATTACTGTTGTTATGAGCTGAAGTTGATGTTATCTGTCGCAAAATTATAAAGAAATTGCTACACAATGAAAAGAACTTTGGCTTACTTGATTGAAAACGGAGAAAGCTGCATGTAACTGGAGCGAAAATAACTTTAAGTAGCAGGTTCAATGCTGTAACAAGAATTCATAGACTGGATTTGAATACCAAAATTAGAAGGTTCCGTCAATTCACAAACCGATGTGTAGTCATCTCAAATAACCCCAGAATCCACTGAACTACATGCACCAAAGGCGGAAGGAGCGAATTCAAAGAGGTCTGTAAGAAATAACAACCTAAGAAAGGTTTTTTCTGTGCGCTGCACTCCAAGTAGGAGCAGTCCGGAGACACCTAAAAAACCTAATCCGTAAGGCTAGGTTCGTTTCCGGCACGTAAAACAACCCGATCACCTAAGTCATCGACAATCATTGGGGATCTTACAGTATGTTTAACGCAACTGTGATTGTAACTCTAGTGAAAGCTGATGGATGGATACAAATCATGAATAAGAGACGACCTAATATTGGTAAAAGTCAGTCTCCTGAACAGTAATTGAGAAATCAAAGGCTGATCATCATGACAGGGCATTCATCTTTGAGAGTAAAGGAGAGTGAAAGCTCTGAACCTAGAAAATGCTTTGAGCATGACATTGAGTTGATAAGAAGTTTAATTAACCAACTAGTGTATGAAGATATTTCTGGGGTCGCCTTACCGAAAGTTTATAGACTAGGTAGCCAAGCAGACTTGAAATAAAATCAAACTAGGCTGTTGAAAGTATTATTTCAATACCAATGAAAAGGACAAGTAGGGTCCACCTAGGGGAGTTGAAAAACCCTAAGTTTAAACTGATGGTGCACATGGGCTCCAGTATTCTGAGGGAACAAATGGCGCATGAACCAATTATTGGTCACCAGCTACCATGGGACTGCATCTCCAGACGTTGCTCCACTACCTTGTGGATCAGACCTTTAGGTCAAAGGCTTCGGGTGTGGCTTCCCAAGAAAACTACCTGCTTCGGTTTGGGTGTGCGGATAGTATCCCAGCTCTCACACAAATCGAATGACTTCAGTCAGTCAGTCAGAAACAACGTGGAACTTCGTACGTACGTACGTACATCAGTTCGAGTTGCCATACCACATTAGCACAGAGATTCAGTTATCGATTCAAATCCCATAGTGGTAGAGGTACTGAAAGTATAAGTAGAGATAGGGGACATTAAGGTTTGATGATGTTATTTAAGGAGTATAGTCCAGTGAAATAAATTTGGAAAGAAAATAAAGGACATGAAGAATTCAGAAGATTAAAGTTTGAGATTTATTATTTATTTATTTTAACACATAAGTATAGGTACAAAGAGGCACCAAATACATATGCACCACACGAATCTCAATTGATTTGTGTGAGGGCTGTGATACTACCCGGGTGCCCAAACCGAAGCAGGAGGTTTCCTTAGGGGGCCAAACCCTGAGCCTTTGACCTGAACGTCTGACCCACAAGGCAGTGGAGCATCGTAAGGAGATGCAGTCCCATGGTAGCCGGTGACCAACGATTGGTTCATACGCCATTTGTTCCTTCAGGATACTGGAGCCCATGTGCACCATTGGTTTGGGATCCGATAAAAGCGCCGGATATTCGCTTTTCGTCCTCTCATTTTTGTAAACAACACCCCTGCCACGAGAAGGCAGTGAGTAGGACTTCCCTGGCAGAGGCTATATACTCATGGCCATGTGAGAGCATTTCGAGAGGGAGAGCGGACTCTCCCCACTCTCGGCCATACCAGGGCATTTGGGGGCAAAGTTTGAGAGAACACAGAGGCATATCTGTTTGGTGACTTGTACCAATGTTTGTGTTTAAATAAATAAGTACAGATAGACTATCGTTTCGGGTGTAATTCCTGTTACATAAACATGGCTGACTCAACTTGTAGACAGTATGGAACTTGATTTTGAAATTTCTATATTGGTAAGAGCTGATAGAACCCAGAAGCATAAAGGAGTAGTTTTGTTCACTAGAAATATTTCCTTTGCCGTCGTCGATAACATATCCTATGAAAGTGAAATGGATTAGTTAGTTGCTGCTTGAAATGCAAAGGACAAGAGCTGCTCATTGGTCTACCGCAGTCCAAACTTTGAGGCAAATGAGGTCTCACTAGACGGTTCTAACACTTGATCATAAAGTGGTCGATGTTTAATCTTAGGAGACTTTAATGCACCCACAGTAGACTGTAAAAATATGAGGACTGAATTGTCAGAAAACTCTTACTAACAAAAACTAGTTGACGTGGGTTTTGTATGCCCCAGTACATGCGAAAGAAGTAACTATTTACGACGCGGACTCAGAATCATCCTCGCTAAGTTTCATTTTGACCTGTTATGAGGATGATGTCGCAAACCCCCAATATATGGAACCCCTGGATTCGCAAAGTACAGATAGATACACAGTGAACGACACTGAGCTACCTGTTGTCCAGACACACAACGACCTAAGAGTCATCGTCAGCCAAGACTTGAAAATTACCGAACATTGCCGTGAGACATGAGGTGAAGGTTCTAAAATCCTATAGTCAATACGTAGAGCATTTAGTGATGTTGATACAAAAACCTTTTTGACTTTGTAAACAGTATTCATTCGTCCTAAACTCGAATACTGTATACAAGCAGCTAGCCCATATCCAAAAAGAGACAGTAAGCAGTTAGGAAAGGTTTATTATTTATTTTAACACATAAGTATAGGTACAAGGAGGCACCAAGTACATATGCACCACACGAATCTCAATTGATTTGTGTGAGGGCTGTGATACTACCCGGGTGCCCAAACCGAAGCAGGAGGTTTCCTTAGGGGGCCAAACCCTGAGCCTTCGACCTGAATGTCTGACCCACAAGGCAATGGAGCATCGTGAGGTGATGCAGTTCCATGGTAGCCGGTGACCAAAGATTGGTTCATATGCCATTTGTTCCTTCAGGATACTGGAGCCCATGTGCACCATTGGTTTGGGATCCGGTTAAAGCGCCGGACATTCGCTTTTCGTCCTCTCATTTTCGTAAACAACACCCCTGCCACGAGAAGGCAGTGAGTAGGACTTCCCTGGCAGAGGCTATATACGCGTGGCCATGTGAGAGCATTTCAAGAGGGAAAGCGGACTCTCCCCACTCTCGGCCGTACCAGGGCATTTGGGAGCTTAATATTACTACTAGTACTGTAGTGAACAAAACACCAATGGGAACAGTAATTAGGCTGGTTCTCAGAATCGTAAAACTCCCGTATGATGATAGGCTGGTTAAACTAAATCTTCTCTTGTTCCTGATAACGGTAATGGAGCATGCTTTAGTACAGCATGTATCCGAACCCACACGTCTCGGTTCAAAACAAAGTTTTTTTCCAGACTTGGTAATCACTCATGAAACTGAGGCTATTGCCAATCTAAATATTCTTCCACCGTTAGCAAATAGCGATCACTCTGTTTTGTCGTTCATGTTTAGAGATTGTGACTTGATATACGATCAGGTTAAGCCTCACCCAAATGTACGAACAGCTAACATACCCGTCATTCAGAAGTACGCTACTAAGACAGATTAGGCAGTAGATACTAGATCATCAGTTGAGGCATGGTCTATATTTAAAGGTAAGCTTAGTTCAGTTACATCCTCGTTTATACCATGCCTAGCACCATGTAGACCGAATAACTGTTCACCATAAACAATTAAACAAATCAAGAAACTTTAGACGTAGGAAAAGGCAACGAGGAACGACCAACGATCAAATGTGATTGGTGCTGCTCGTCGATTGATCCTGTAGTTATTGAGAAAGGTACTGTCTTAAGACTACTTCAACATCTCAAACCTGACAAGTTCAGTAGTTCTGACGATATTCATCCTAGGATTATGAAATCCCTGCCAAGAGACTGGAAAGACGCAATAATTAGTCCGGTGTAGAAGGAGGGGAGCAGAGACTTAGTAACTATCGTCCCGTTAGTCTAACCAGTGAAGTTGTAAAACTAATGTTAAAGATTATTTGGATGGCTGTTATAAACTGTGCTGAAGGGCATAATATTTTATCCAGGGAATAACACAGTTTTTGAAAAGGCCTATCATGCTTGACAAAGCTGCTAATTGTAAGAGAAGATTGGGCTACAGCAAAAGATCGAAGTATTCCTATAGATGTAATTTCCATAGATCTAAGTAAAACCTTTGGCAAGCTCTCCCATCCGGGTCTTAATTTAAAACTGGAAATGTTGGAATCTATTATAAGGTTATAGATTAGATAAATGACTTTCTCAGTGATAGGAGACAGCAGGTAAGAGTAAATGGAGCTCTCACAGCATAAACCTCTGAAAAGTGGAGTTCCCCAATGTACAATCCTTGGTCCCCCTTTTTTTAACTTTATGAAAGTGAATTACTAACTGTAACAAAGTAAACCGTCCTACTCTTCGCAGATGACATAAAGATTTTGAGACCCATAAACAGTATGTCAGATAGAATAGTATTACAGGATGATCTCAATTCATTGGTGGCATGGAAGGGCGGGTGGCCACTAGAAGTAAGTTTTGACAAGTGTGATTATGCAATTAAGTAACTACGATGATTCATATTACTACACAATACGTGGAGTTGTGTTGCCCAAAGTAATGGACTATAAAAATTTAGGAGTCATAATAAGCAGCGACCTCAAAACTACGAGCAACTGCAAGGCTACTGCTGCCAAAGGCTTTAGAGTGTTATGGGCTATTCGTAGGTCTTTTCAGTACTTGGAAGAATTTTACAGAGTATCATACCCGACTTTCATGAGACCCCATTTAGAATATGGGACTCAGGCAGCGAGCCCTTGTTTCAAGTATGGGGCGGATATGCTGGGACGAGTCCAACGATGACAGACTGAAAAGGTAAAAGGTCTCTCTGGCCTATCCCAATCTCCCTATTTTGAGAAAAATTTTGTCTATTTTGGGTAAATTTTGAGAAAATCGCGGCAGGAAACTTTGATGAAATGGCGCACAAACTCCAAAAATTACCGAGAATCGTATAACACTTTGAGGTTTCTCCCCAAACTTTTTACAACTTTTGGGAAAACCCCAAAAATTACCCAAAAGACTCCAAATTTTCCGCAAAATAGGGATTCGAATCAGGAGACCGAGAGCTAGTTCTCATGCAGTGTTACAAACGAGCCTTTCAGAGGAAAATTTCCTTCTGATCAGATACATTATAAAAAATTTACAACACGTAGTCAATTACTAAGAAAATAAGTGATTTAGAGGCACTGTGTGAAATACCGACAATAACACACCCCTTCGTACCAATCAACTGGATGACCTACACAGAACCAATCATTGATTTAGTAGGACAAACAAAGTAGCGACAAAAAAGACTTGGTGTCCTATTTTTGTAAGCAGTTTTCATGGTACTATGATGATTGTAATTCTCTTTCAAGACGTAAATTAACGTAAATCCTTGATGTAATCTGTGATTCCAAGTATTGCTCTATGTTAAAGTCAAGTGAATATCTAATTAAACACAGTATAATTGGCCCATAAGCTTTTATCATTGTAAATGTTTAGTTAACTAAATACATGGCATAATTGTATTTGCTTCATCACTTTCCACGGCCGAATCGATTTGTAACGGTAAACAAATCCCCAAAATAAATAGCTGGATGGTGACCGCACGAGTTTGAATGGACTCACCTAGCTGAAGGCGCTTGGTCGTGCATCCGCACCAGATCACGAGTGGGAACACCGTGCTCAATATCCACTGCTATTACTAGCCAGATTAGATCAATCGATCCACGATATATTGATAGCCTATCAAATATATCTTCGAACCTCCTTGCTTCTGTATTTTGATTTCACTTTGTGGGTACGAATCGTAGTAGGCGTTACTTGTTAAAGCGTTGTCTAACTCCGAATACGTATGGCATTTTTACTGGTGAGCTTGATGTGACCTGGTACGCCAAATTGCAAACTGTGTGTCTGTTCCTTCTTATATGTTGTGATATTTTTTCGTGCTTTTGGATAAATATATATTTCCCTTTCGTTCAATCTCGTACTTGATGTTTCACCATGACTGAACAGACACCCAAGGTATTTAAGTTAAAGACTGTGTCCCCACCTTTGTTCCAACTAATGCTTTTCTGGCCAGATAACATCGAAGCCTGGTTCGCTACTCAGAAGCCGACTTCTACGAGCACGGCGTGAAAGACACAGATGCACAATTCCTCGCAGTAGTCAAGGCACTACCTCGCGAATCCAACAGGTACGTAACACCCAGTATGTTTACTAGTGATGTCTCTAAACCATACGAAACTCTTAAACGATCCATCTTCAAACGCGGAGATCTAACCAATCGACAAAGTTTAGACCAACTCCTTAATAACATCGACCTGAGACGCGGTTCTGCCACGGACATGTTGAAAAGAATGAGCGAGGTTATCGGCCAAAGAATCTTCGATGATGGCCTGTTGAGGATTTCGGATTATACGAAAATGTGAAGTCGGCTACTCTTTGGAGGAACAGTCATACACCGTAGCGCCTAGACTGTGTTTTTACAAACGAAGAATTTCTGGTCGACATCCTCTCAATTCTGGCTCCCTTCGGGAAAAGCGATCACGCCGTTATAGCCTTCAATTTTGTCGAGAAAACTGAGCTAAGATATCCCAACCACAATAGGCGCTGGAATTTCAAACGGTTGAATATGTCAGCTCTACAGGGCTATCTACCACAGGTGGATTGGAATGTTTACCCTCAACTTGATGTGAATGCTCATTGGAACTTGTTACTGCACACGCTCTTATGTGCTACAAAGCAGTCAGTTCCTCAAACGGTCCCCAAAAGCCACAATCAAACTAAAATCACCAAAAACCCCAATCTTTGTTTGCTAAGCTTCAGAATGCACTTTTGGGAAGAATACAAACGAACTGACAACAATTGTGCGTACAGGCAATACAAACATATAAGAAACATATGCACGAAGGCTATAAGAGGAGACAGGTCTCAGTACCAGTTAAAGCTTATGGATAAATTTATTTCCAATCCAAAAACCTTATTCCGTTACGCAGCCTCTCTTCGTCAAGCCAAAACTAAAGTTTCTCAACTGCTAGGTCCTAAAGGCCAGACCGATAACGACGGTGATACCACTAATCTTTTGGCTGAGCAATACTCCGAGACATTTTAACCGACCCACATCAACTATACTGACGGAAGCTTCATCTGCAACTGTACAGGACTTTCCGTAATGAACCTGAGCGCTGACATGGTGTTTCGAAAACTGTAGCACCTAAGAAAAGACACTTTCCCCTGTCCGGATTTGATTCAATCTGCTATACTGAGGAAAGCAGCTTCAATCCTGGCAATACCGCCTAGCGTGATGTTCTCGCACTCGCTAAGTCGAGGCAAACTACCGAATATTTGGAAGCCGGCTCATATCACACATATCTTCAAAGGAGGTTGACGCAGCAAACCTTCAAGTTACCGACCGGTGGCTCTTCTCTCTATACCTTCAAAGATCATGGAGTCCCTGATATACAATAGTATACACGATTATCTTCTGTTCTTAAATTTTTTCTCACTCCAGCATCATGGATTCAGGAAGGGTTACTCCTGTATAGCGAACCTGCTGACTGCGGTGGACAGATGGACGAGCATCCTTGATCGCAAGGGGAAGGTGGATATCATTTACCTTGATTTTTTAAAAGCTTTTGATAGGGTTACTCATATATGTCTTATCAATAAGCTCAGACAATTGGGTATCAGAATACCTCTAATTGATTGGCTCAGTTCATATCTGACAAATCGACATTTTAGGGTCAGGTTCAACCTCAAATTATCACAGGCCATGGAATATCCTGGTGTGGTTTTCAGGGCTCAGTATTAGGACCTCTTCTCTTTCTGATTTATATAAATGGTCTTCCTCAACAGGTAACGTCAGACTTATTACTTTTTGCCGATGATGTGAAACTTTGGAGAGAGAGATACGCAGCTAGGAGGATATACAGGCATTTCAGGAGAATCTGACTTGGCTTCAAAGTTGGGCAGATGACAACTGATTTACCTATAACACTTCAAAGTGTAAAGTAGTCCATCTGCGACACGTTGCAGACCACAGTTACAACTCAGAAAACTCCTCTCTAGTAATATCCCGAGTCGAAAAAGATCTAGGATTCCTGGTGCCCTACGACTCAAAGTCCTACGCTAACTGTGACAGAAATGCCTTTCGAGAAAACCTTGCACTGGTAACATTGAAACACATTTTTGGTCAGTTTGATGGAAGAACTTTCCACATAATCTTCAAAAGTTTTATTCGTCTCCATTTAAAGTACGTAAACATAGCATTTTCTCCTACACTCCAAAAGGATAAGGACATTCTGGAGCGTATCCAACGGCGAGCCACGAGATCTGAACGGGGACTCAAATTTAAACCTTACGATGAGCGCCTCCGATTACTTGACCTTGATCCATTAGAGTATAGGCGTCTTAGAGGCTAACAGTATACTTAACACACCTGGACATCCTCTTAAACACCTTCTTAAGCTTAGTCCCAACACTAACCTAAGGGGTAACGCCCAGAAATTAAAGGTACAACATAGTAGAACGGACTGTAGGGACAACTTCTACTCCTTAAGAGTTGTCAAATGCTAGAATTCGCAGTCGGCTGAGCTAATACAAGCGACTTCTCAGGAGTCGTTTAAGAGGCGAGTTGATCTATTCTTAAGGACTAAAGATATTATCTTACTATGATTTACCAATTTCCTTTTTTCTCTTTTGTCGTTAGTATACCTAGGTTCTTGTTTGGAGGTATTGATGATCCCGTGCTACTAGACACGGAAGCCTGTTAAGCGAAAGCTTCTTTTATTCCCAATTGATTGATCACTGGGTGACCAATGTCATATTTGTCTAGTCCTTATTATTAGTGCAGATCGAATGCCATCGATCATGTTGCAATGTGGCCACCAGTCTAGGTGACTCGACACTGCGGGCACTATTGTGAGATTAGATGGTGATTGGAGGTAGTCGACAGGAAACCCTGGACCCGGGTTTCGTGCTACTTGGCACTCGTCAGCAAGGTGTACCTGTAATCTTTGAGGGAACTGGTGCTCCCTGGCGGATTCGATCCCGTGTCACCCAGTGATCAATCAATTGTGATTACATGTCAGTCCTACAGGAGGTCGGTCGCGGCCCGGATAGCTCAGTGGTAACGTCTGTGACTGTGAAGCTGGGTGACACGGGATCGAATCCGCCAGGGAGCACCAGTTCCCTCGAAGATCACAGGTACACCTTGCTGACGAGTGCCAAGTAGCACGAAACCCGGGTCCAGGGTTTCCTGTCGACCACCTCCAATCACCATCTAATCTTCTTTTATTCCGTCCACAACCAATAGAACCATTTGTTCAAACTTCCTCAACAGGTGCAAGCTGTGATGGTCTCGTTCCAAAACAACGCCGTAGACGAGCTGGCTGCATCTGCCGACCGTATCCTCGAAATCACAAAATCTTTTGGTGCCGAGGTTTTTTCAGTCAGAGAAAAGCCTCAAACGACCCAGAATGACATTACAAAGTTATGCCATACATTTACGCGTTATTTCAAACTTCGTAACAACCGTAAACGGTCACACATCCCACGAAGAAGTACTTCAAGTAGGCGATCTCTCTCTAGATTACGAGGGACGGATAACCCTGACTGGTGCTTGCATCATAACCAGTATGGAAAGTCCTCCAGAAATTGCAGAAAACCGTGCAATTTTCACAACTCCCAGCTGGCACGCGTTAACGGCAACCGTAGCCGGAAAAGACAGCCGTGTGTTGTACGCCACAGATGTGATAACGAAAGTTCCCTACCTCGTCTATACTGGCGCAGAAGTCAGCGATCTTCCAGTAAATTCTAACGATTGCCTCCACGAATCCGTTTCAAAATTACAGGTGTCAAACGGAAAGTCAATAGCCGCATATGGTAAATGCTACGTTTGCCTTAACGAGGGTTTACGCAAACCTATTCACTGGATTTTTGTTGTTGAAGATGTTTCTACGCCAAACATTGGTATGGACTTCCTACAGCACCACAATTTAGTCATCGATACGCGCAAACGGAGGCTAGTAGACGGAAACACTAATTTATCTGTTTGCGTAAATTCTTTTTCCAGTTGAAGATTATCTCCTGTTAGTTAGACGCACGATAGATCCATTCTATCAACAATTACCCGAAAAGTATTCTGGGACATACCGACCGCAGCCGAAATTGACGTGTATAACCAGCAACGTTACACATCACATCACGAATACAGGACCACCTGTGTTCTCGAAAGAGCACCGACTGGCTCTCGAAAAGC